GCGACTCCCGCGCGAGTAGGCGGCACGGTCACCGAGCGGGAGGACGGGGTCACCCGATTAGGTGGCCATACCGGAAGAGACGCCCCAGGATATGACTCTTGGACGGACGACGGCGGGTCGGACAGAATATCTGTCCTGTCCGTCGACTACACGGACGACGACGACGTTGAGTCTCAGGCAGAGAGCGTCGATAGCTCCCTGTCAAGGGCGGGCGTGAAACGCTCCTTGCCTAGAGAAGAGGAAGAGGATGAGGAGACTGACAAGGTACCTAAGCTGTCCAGTGGGCGGCGAGGGCGCGGCTCCCGCGGTCCTCATATTAAGAGACCGCGCGGCCGTGGCAGACCTCCCAGCACGGGGGAATATGTGGGCCTAAAAAAAAAAAAAAAGTCAGCGACGTTAGTGGTACTGCTCCTGCACTATAAACAATATTTCATTGATTAAGAAGTGTTTATCTCCGCAAAACTGGATATTTCTAACAAGTGCCGTCAATACTCGCAACACAAGTGTTATCTCAGTGCCTGCATTAATAACAAGTGATATTCAAGCTGGAAGACGTAGCGTGGGCAGGCCTCCCACTAGGTGGACCGACGATCTGGTGAAGGTCGCGGGAAGTACCTGGATGCAAGCGGCGCAGGACCGGTCTTTGTGGAAATCCTTGGGGGAGGCCTTTGTCCAGCAGTGGACGTCTTTCGGCTGAAACGAACGAACGAACGAACGATATTCAAGCAAATATTTATTCGCCTGGAAGCTACATTTTCACAACTACCGTCCAATATTAATACAAATTGTGTATGTCAACATCAAATGACAGACCCAACTGTCACAACTCAGTGACAGGTGACAGCTACTAGCGACCATAGACATTCTGTGTTGCCACCCTACGCAATATTTTACCCAAGCTCGGGGAAAATAGTATCACGATGAGTATCTGCGGAGGCTGTAACAAATTGATTTCGGCGACCGAGGCCATTTCATGTATCAAGTGTCCTCGAGTTTACCACTTTGTTTGTGTCAATCTAACAAAAGAAAACTTCAAGAAACTGTCCAAAGATGCGAAAAATTCATGGAAATGCCCGGTATGCAAAAGTAACCAACCCAAAATCGGTGACAACTCTGATACGCCTATTCGGGGCACCAAAGCAGATGGCGGCTCGTGTGAGGATTCCAAAGTAAAACCTTCACACGCTGAAATTGGCAGTGACCTGGTGCAATTGATTTCATCAAAGATCAAGGAGACTCTCGATAGCGAACTACCGAAAATCATTAGTAGGGTGCTGGAAACAGAACTGAAGACCTTTCATCAAGAAGTACAAGAAATCAAAGAATCCATTAACTTTTTCAATGAAAAATACGAAGAATTGAAGCAGCTAGTGGAGAACCGCAACTCTGATGTCCAAAAATTGCAAGAAAAAAACAACGTGCTCGAAACAAAGCTGAAGGACGCACTCACTCGTATCTCAGCCATGGAGCAATACTCACGGGACTCAAACATTGAAATTCATGGACTTCCGGAGTTCCAAAATGAAAATCTGGCCCAGACCGTGATGCAGATTGGAAAAGTCGTGGATGCACCAATCGTGGACTGTGACATTCTGTCTGCGTTCAGAGTATCCAAAATCGATCCCACAAACAGCCGCCCTAGGACGGCTGTAATCAAACTCCGCAGCAATAGATGTCGAGACACGGTGATAGCAGCAGTATCTAAGTACAACAGACAGCACCAAGATGCGAAACTAAATACGAAAACGATTGGTATCGGTGGTGTAGCAGCGCCCATATTCGTAGCAGAGCATCTCTCCCCTGAGAACAAATTGTTGCATGCAGCTACGAGGCAAAAGGCTAAGGCTCTTGGTATCAAGTTTGTGTGGGTCAGAAACAGTAAAATTTACGTACGTAAGGATGAATCTTCACGACCTAAAATTATCTCCAATAGAGACGTTCTAGATGAATTGATTGCCTAGACAACCATCCGATGATGGCAACAGCAGAGTTGGGAGTATCTCTATTATTTTCAAGATCTATTACCAGAATGTGAGAGGCATGAAAACCAAAACAAAAGACTTTTACATGAACGCTATGCAGTGCGACTACGATGCGATCGTCATCACGGAGACGTGGTTAACGCCCGATATCTACGACAATGAGTTCATCGATCCCAAATATACGGTCTACAGAAAGGATCGCTCATCGTGTTCGGGACCTGTAAAATCCAGAGGTGGAGGAGTGATGATAATAGTTAAAAAAGATATCATCTCGTATAGAGTTCGGCAATGGGAAACTGATGGCGAGGATCTGTGGATTGTCATCGAGCTTCCATTAGAGAAAAATATGAAAAAGATAGCGATATGTGCCATTTACTTGCCTCCGCCACTGAGGTTTGATAACGTGAACAATTTTTTCACAAAGTCCAGTGAAGTATTAACTAAGGTAGACAACGTTTTGTTGATTGGGGACTTTAATATGGGTTTTATAACCTGGACCTTGGATGACGACAATAATAAATTATTACCTCACAACTACAATAGTAATCTTGGATATAGCTTAGTTGATTTTATGTCTCTGTCTTGTTTGAATCAGTGTAATGGAATCGTTAATTGCGACCGTAGAATACTTGATCTAGTCCTAACAAACATGTCAGATGTAACAGTCACCAAGCCCCTTAATGTTTTCAGTAGGTTAGACTCTTATCATCCACAATTAGAAATAAGTTTTGGTAACCTCATAGGCTCCTATATAGCTGTCAAACCTCGTTCAGATTTTAACTTTTATAAGGCAAATTTTGATTGCATCAACAAATGCTTAGAGAGTGTGGACTGGTGTGATGCTTTTAGAGACCTAAGTGTTAATGATATGGTTGCAGTGTTGTATGATAGAATTAACGAGGCGGTCATCGAAAACGTTCCCAAATACAAATCTACTAGTAAAAAGTATCATCCCCCATGGTTTAATAATAAACTAATTAATCTCATTGCAGAAAAGGAAAAACTTAGGTATAGATTTAAAAGATTTGGTAATCCACGTGATAAAATTGAATTTGAAATTTTACGAGATCGTTGTAGGCAACTAACTAAATCTCTCTACAAGGCTTATATAGCAAGAGTTGAAGACAATGTTCACAAAAATCCTAAATACTTTTGGAAATACATTAAGGACAAAAGGGCCGGCTCAGGGACCATTCCATCCAACATGTATAGAGAAGACGTCAAAGCATGCTCTGCCAGTGAGGTAGTAAATCTTTTCGCAGCTCAATTCAGTTCTGTCTACTCAGAACCTTCCAAGCTGGAGAATAAGCACACAGTTGACATTTTTGAAAACCTTCCACTACACAAAGTCACCATACATGAGAGACAGGTTTTACATAGATTGAAACGCGTTGATGTACACAAGAGTGCAGGACCCGATAAAATACCACCGTTATTCCTAAAAAGGTGCGCATCAGTAATGGCCTATCCGCTGACTGAAATCTTCAATAAATCCTTATCTACTGGCATATTTCCCGAGGAATGGAAAAAGGCACGCATTGTCCCTATCTTCAAGAGTGGCGAGCGTGAAAATGTTAAAAACTATAGGCCTATTTCCATCTTGTCCGCTATGTCTAAACTCTTCGAATCCCTAATATGCCCAATTCTTACTAACTATACAAAAAACATGATAAGCGATCAACAGCACGGCTTCCGGGAAAAAAAATCTGTTACTAGCAATCTTTTCTCCTACACCAACTCACTGATTGGGGAAATTGATTCGGGTGGACAGGTGGACTCAATATATACGGATTTTAGCAGTGCGTTTGATAAAGTAGACCACTTGACATTATTGAGTAAGTTGGAAAAGTCGTATGGTATAGCGGATCCTTTCTTGTCATGGTTTGAATCATACCTTGCTGGCCGTACCCAGTCTGTAGTCGTGAGCGGGCATGAGTCGTATAGCTATAAGGCAACTTCTGGAGTTCCCCAGGGTTCCTTGTTCCTGTACTGTTCGTAATTTTTGTGAATGACGTTGTACGGCGCGTAAAACACAGTTATTGTTCACTGTTTGCTGACGACATGAAAATATACCGCGAAATTAAATCCTGGGAGGACTCCGCATTTTTGCAGGAAGATATAGAGTCCGTTTATCAGTGGTGCCAGGACAATAAAATGATCTTAAACGTGGCAAAATGTCACCATATAACTTTCACTAAAAAAGAATCCCTCTTCAGACCTCTTACTCAATAAATGGTTCTCAGGTTGGCAGGGTTGATGAGATATAGATTTGGGTGTCATCCTGGATAAAAAGTTATCATTCATATCGCACTATAATAACATCGTCAACCGTGCTTCCCGTATGCTTGGCTTCCTCAAACGTGCCACAAAAGATTTTCGTCGAATTGACGCCAAAAAATCTCTATAATTCCCTTGTTAGGTCTATTCCTTACAGGGTTACAGTTACACCCTTACAGGGTCATAAGTTGAGACTAAGTTTAAGATCACCACCTATGTACACTTATGAAGCAATAAATAAATGATTATGATTATGATTATGATTCTCGAATTCAGCAGCATAGTATGGAATCCTTTCAACACACACATCAACAGAATNTATAGCGGATCCTTTCTTGTCATGGTTTGAATCATACCTTGCTGGCCGTACCCAGTCTGTAGTCGTGAGCGGGCATGAGTCGTATAGCTATAAGGCAACTTCTGGAGTTCCCCAGGGTTCCCACCTAGGTCCTGTACTGTTCGTAATTTTTGTGAATGACGTTGTACGGCGNTCCTCTCCATGGGGGGGATTTGCCTTAATCGCCACGCTTGGCAGGCGGGTTGGCGATCGCAGTTTTTTATAAGGTTTCGCACGCAGACGCTGCTGCCCGTCCGGTGCTGCAGGGATTTTGTCGCCTCTTACGACACGCCTCCTGTTGGCGGTGGGGAAGAGTATTCTTTATGGCCGTCCCCACACGGCACTTATGGCCGTCCCCACACGGCACTAAGTAAGTAAGTTAAATATGGCAATTAATTCTGGTTTTACCTTTTTGTTGCCCCTTCAATGTCCTTGTCAAGATTTTCAAAAGCGTCCATCTTGGCAAGTGCTATGATACCACCCCAGGAGGTGTTGTTTAGCCAGGAGTATGGCGAATTTTCAGGTGCCACGGCGTACTTGAGAAGGAAGTCCAATTCACGGGGGTCTACTTTTCCTTCACCTTGCAAGACCTACAACCATAAACACTAAAGTTGAAACAGGCCGTATGACGATACTACGCTAGTCTGTCTATTCCGTACAATCAATAGAGCATCAATAATAATACCTGAACTGTAATCAAGAACAAGAACACCAGCTTATCCCTCTCAAAGAGACCTCTGCTAGTGTACACAAAGACAGCAAACGTGATGCTGTCCAGTAGATTCCTCACTCGGCCTTCAAGGTCATCGGCAGGATCAGCGCGGGCCAAAGCATCTTTGAACACTACGCTGTAGGCCTTCAGTGAGAACTGGTACATCGGGTTGATTCGGTACAAATCGTTTAGGATGAAATACAGGATAGAGGCACGGGTAGCTGCTCGTCTATGGGAAAATAAATTAAAAATAAGTTATTCAAAAAATATTGTAATGTTTGTCGATTTCAATTACTTTACCTATATCGTTCTCTGGCCTCGTCAATCTTCACAGACGTAACCTTGCCTTCTTCGACCTTTATTTCAATGTCTGCTGCCGTCTTCTTGGTGGTTTCCAAGTTGATCACCAGCGCCGAATCACTGAGGATGTCAGGTCCGGCAGAAGACAATCTCTTCAGTAGATCGTCTTCAAGCGTTTTGAGCGTGATCTTGAAGTCATTTTGCTGTTTCGTTAGACCTGCTCTCAAGCTCTCCAAATCGGGTCTTTCAGCCTTCACGACTTCACCTAACAGCTGTTCTTCGAGACTGTTGAATGGGAGTAGTAAAAATTTAGTTTTCAGTTATTAATATAATATTGGCTTGAAAGATCATACGTGATGACATTTACCCATCTCTGGTGACAGTGAAGTTTATCAAGGTACACTGTGCCTGCATCTCGGGCTGGTAATGGGGATTTGCCAATTTAGTTTGTATAATCAGGCGGAAATTTGGATTGTAGTCAATTTCCCTGTCTCCAATCTGTATAAGAAATAATGTAATCAGTTCTTTGTATGGAGTGGACACCACTATTCAATTACAATTTTTGGCTGGTCGCTGGGGTGACTAGCACCACACATAGGTATTGAATGAAGTCAAAGAGCAACTGATGAGTAAGGCCCAGAACACACGGTGAATCGCAACTGCAACGAAACTGCAACTCCTAGTTACTTTTGAGTTGCATCTAAGTTTCACATGACGCGACCAGTTTGACCAGTTTCAAACTGGTCGCGTCATGTGTGGTCTCTCAACGGACGCTATGACACCGTGTGTTCTGGGCCAAAAGATCATAATATACATGCGTATAGTTTTATCACTTACTTGACGATTTACGAAATAAACCCTGGTAGTCATTAGTCATCAGCCAGAGTTTACTTACCTTTGAACGTCATCACCTATTTTATAAGTTATTTTACCTTGAGCACGCGTCCCTTTCTGATAAGCACTCTTCCCAACAGCGGCTCAAGCACGGCGTCAACAGACTCGCCGATGTTCTCTAACATCACCACGTTGCCGTTGCTGACCGCCCGCTCGATGCGGTCCAGGTAATTGCGCTGTGTCAGTCTGATCACTACCAGCGCGTCACCGTACTTGGACTTGATCCATTTTATGCCTTGTCTGAAATGATGGATTCATTTATCTTCATTGGTGATTGCCTCAACAAAATGAAATCTGGGTGATGTGCATGTTGTTGTAACGCTTAAAACATTATAGGTATGTATGTATAATTATATTGATATGACAGATAGTAATGAACATCATTTAAAACACACTATGAATTAAAATGACGAATGAAAGTCAAGTTTTATCATCCTATCATCAATTACAGACAGTTCTCACCGCTCAATGTGATAGCAAAACAAGCATCAGTCCGACAGTCCCTAGTGTCCCTACTCCCTGCAAGATAAACTAACAGAAGACTCACAGTTGAGGATCAATCATAAGTGGCCAGCGGGCAGAGTTTGTAAGAATAGTGGCATTTTCCGTGCTCATTGAATCATTGGGCAGTCCCTCGTTGTTCCAGACTGCCACCTGAGCGTCGTCTGTGAGCATGGACAGTGGATCCAAGCCTTCAGTTGTCTCGATTACGGGCTGAAAAAAGATACAATATTTTAACTCGCTTTTGTGATACTTCCTTGCAATTGAGAAGAGTCATAAGTTAATAATGCTATGCTAGAAAAACAAAAATGTTGTTTTGAAACTCACGTTTGTCTTTGACAACATAGGTACCCAGTCATCACTCATAAGCTGCTGCCGGTACCGACGCATGAAGCAACCAACGTAGGATATGAACGCGGTAATAAGCAATGTGTCGCCAGGCAACATGACTCCAGACTCTTTCAAGTTTGCTACAGTTGCGGTCCATCTAAAATCATGAATTGATCAACAGAATAGAAAGAATAAACCGCTCTTTTACGCGACATCTAGCTTTTGTCAGTCGCGGTCAGATTACCGTGCACAACAGCTATGAAGAACGTCTCGATTTCTTCAAAATGCAGAAACTATGCGACCGTCGCAAAACGCTAGACTTACTTTTCTTGTACAAACTTCTCAACGGCATGGTAGTTTCCCANTAAGACGCTAGACTTATTTTTCTTGTACAAACTTCTCAACGGCATGGTAGTTTCCCAAGACTCACTTGAAAAAATTCGTTTTCGTGTTCCAAGGCAAAGTTCTCGCTATCTCTGTAGAGACCTCTTTCACATCCCTTTGTGCAAAACTAAGTTAGGCCAAAACTCGCCACTTAACCGGTTGTGTGCAACGTATAATAAAGCGGTGACTGGCAACCCAGACACAGACACCGGTCTTGACGTTTTCGGTGACAGCCTCCCTAAATTTAAGTCAAAACTCAAGCCTGTATTCGGAACGACTTAGGCACCGAACAAAATGAACAATTACTAAATCCTTTATATTGTTCGGTGCTTAAACTCTAGACTCTATTCAATTGATTTTTGTTTTTACTAGTGTATAATTACCCTAACATTGCAAAAAGAAATGCTGTGTATACCTGTAATTGAGGTCATATACGTATCATGTGTTAAACCATGTTAAAATGTATGAACTGTATTATGTATGTGACTTTGTTGGTGTACCTAATAAATAAATAAAATAAATAAACATAAAACTTATACATTTCAGATGCAACGTGAGTCACCCTTCGAACATTTTTAACTTCACAGTTATAGAAATCGATCCAAAGCTGAATCTCGATGACCATGAGAAGATACATAAACAGAACCTGTTCAAGTATATTGTAAGTATTAAAGGCCGAAGCACACTTACCAACCCGGTAACGGATCGTAACCGTATCAACTCGAGGCGGTCAGTATTCTTTGTATTAAACTCCGTACTGCAATGCACTCTTATCCGCACCGTAACGTAAACGCCTCGCCTCGCGGTTGACAGCGTGACGAAAGGCGATACGGTGTTGATCCCTTTCCGGGTTGATAAATGTGCTATGAACTTTAATTCATACTATTAATTATTTATTATTGTATAATTATAATTTTAGGAAGACCAGGGTCTACATAATTTGAATATTATGGCAAAACCCTCCAGTATAGAGAGGCTTTAGGCGAATTATTGTAGAAAATATTTTTTTTAAAACAAGCTCATTACGTACCTATACGTCACACACACGTCAGTGTGTGCGCGCCGCATACGTATTGGCGCGCTCACATACAAACCGCGCTCGGGCGTTTCTATGAAGATGACCTACTCATTTGTATTTACTCTGATTACGGTTAGCACTCCGCTAAACTGATAACATTGTGGGAGGACTGTTCATCAGTGAACGTCCTGTGGTTGGTCAATATTTTCCTACGGAACCACTTGTATCTTTGGCTCTGTTTCTTGGACAGTGGGAAGTATACTGGACATGGTTGGAGAGCGTCACTCTCACTTGGCAATGTCCAGTGTAATGGACATAGGTTTGTCAGGAAACTGAAATAGGTAGATTTTTTTGGGTATTTTTTCTAGAGTCCTACACAAGCTAAAAACTGAAATCTGTAACCGTTTTACAAAAATTAATAAAAATTTCATCGAATGAAGGGTTTATTAATTTTAGACAATTAAAGATGAGCTTGCGGCGGAAATGGAAAGCAAACAAAAAAAACAACGGTACCTTGAAATATTTATATGCAATGAAGGTCAGTAGAATAAATAATAAATATACTATTTTTAATAGTCCAAGCAAATAAAGGAATTTTGACTTTGACTTTGAATAGTATGAGCTTATTATAAAAATAAAACTAAAATATGCTGTGATACCAATTTCTTCAACACCCTGTACATATCGTGCGCCTCAACGCATCGTGTGCTTTGGCTCTAAATCGTGACAGGCACGGATTTAGGGGGAGGGGGTGAACCGGGGCACCCCAGGGGCCAAAAAAAGGGGGCGCTTAGAAACAATCGTAGATCCGTGGCTGTCTGGGTATCTTTGGACAGAATCTCTATAAAAGCAAATGGTCCCTGACTGACTCCCTCGCTCATCACGAAATCTCAGAAACTACAAGTGCTAGGTTCCTGGATGCGAGCGGCGCAGGACCGGTCTTTGTGGAAATCCTTGGGGGAGGCCTTTGTCCAGCAGTGGACGTCTTTTGGCTGAAACGAACGAACGAACAAGTGCTAGATTCTCAAATTTTGCATGCGGGATCTATTTAGAACGTTGGTGCTCACTAAGACGAGATTTTGCAAAATTCAACCCCTAAGGAGGTAAAACGGGGTCGCGGGCGGCCGCTAGTACATAATAGTAGCAACTAAAAGCTTTTAATTTATGTTTTGGAACATTACATTTTGTAGAGTTACATAGCCAATAATATGATGTATATATAGGTCTACCGCTTCACCGCCATCGCCTGAGGTATGGGACGGCACGGGAGGGTGACATTGACATTTATGACGTGACAGAGCATATTCTGAAGATCTGAAGTCTCGCTGGCGTTTGACGTTACAAAAATACCCTCCAGCCGCTCACCTCAGGCACTGACTGAGTTAGCTAGACCTGTAGCTAGTAAAGTCTAAAGCAGGGTACTCATCTAGCCGTGTAGCATGTAATGTATCAGATACTGTATCAAGTGAGTACATAGGCACGAGTCCGCTGCGAGCTGCTCCCGCGTGGTTCGCAGGGAGATCGCAGCGACCCGCCGACTGGCGGTATCACTGCGAGCACAAAGGAGGATTCAGGAGCTCGCAGCCAGATACGCGATGACCGTGGACGAGCCGTACTCACTTGAAGGTTGGTTACGTTACATGCTACGTTACGTGCTACGTGGCAGGTGAGTACCCTGCCTAATTTTCGCGTACCTGGGTCTACAATAAATAAAGTTATTTCATTTGATTTGTTTTAGAAAAACGTAACCAAGACATATGACGGGAACTGGTCTTGCGAGATACTCACTTTAAAAGACATCCAATATGTCTCAAACATGGTGATAGTCGATAACAGCACGTATAGACAAACTTTCTGCCGTGCGAGAGTACATATACAAACACGTAAGTACCCGCGACTTTAAGCTCATAAAGCCTGGTCCGTGAGCACGTAGAATTTTGTCCAATGACCCCTAGCTACCCATCCTTATCGCTCGCGCGTAATTATATTGCTGTCGCGACTGTGCGACTGGCACCCGCAGTGAGTTTGCGAGACTTATCAACTCGGAAAGGGATCAACAACACACAATCGCGATCGTTACGGTGCGGATCGTGTGCGTTGTATGGAGTTTCATACAAAATACTNGCACTCTTATCCGCACCGTAACGTAAACGCCTCGCCTCGCGGTTGACAGCGTGACGAAAGGCGATACGGTGTTGATCCCTTTCCGGGTTGATAAATGTGCTATGAACTTTAATTCATACTATTAATTATTTATTATTGTATAATTATAATTTTAGGAAGACCAGGGTCTACATAATTTGAATATTATGGCAAAACCCTCCAGTATAGAGAGGCTTTAGGCGAATTATTGTAGAAAATATTTTTTTTAAAACAAGCTCATTACGTACCTATACGTCACACACACGTCAGTGTGTGCTGCGCGCCGCATACGTATTGGCGCGCTCACATACAAACCGCGCTCGGGCGTTTCTATGAAGATGACCTACTCATTTGTATTTACTCTGATTACGGTTAGCACTCCGCTAAACTGATAACATTGTGGGAGGACTGTTCATCAGTGAACGTCCTGTGGTTGGTCAATATTTTCCTACGGAACCACTTGTATCTTTGGCTCTGTTTCTTGGACAGTGGGAAGTATACTGGACATGGTTGGAGAGCGTCACTCTCACTTGGCAATGTCCAGTGTAATGGACATAGGTTTGTCAGGAAACTGAAATAGGTAGATTTTTTTGGGTATTTTTTCTAGAGTCCTACACAAGCTAAAAACTGAAATCTGTAACCGTTTTACAAAAATTAATAAAAATTTCATCGAATGAAGGGTTTATTAATTTTAGACAATTAAAGATGAGCTTGCGGCGGAAATGGAAAGCAAACAAAAAAAACAACGGTACCTTGAAATATTTATATGCAATGAAGGTCAGTAGAATAAATAATAAATATACTATTTTTANCCACCGCGGCTCCCGCCGCCCCCGCCCCCGTCTCCGCGTCTGTCGCTGCCTCGGCCGTGTCGGCCGCCCTCGCCGACGCCACCGCCACCGCCACCGCCACCGCGCCCGCATACTCGCCGGCTGACGTCGAGCCAAACAATTGGCTCACTTCGGCGTCCATCGGCGAGCTGTACGCCCGCATGGACACCATCTTGAAAAAGTCGGTTGCGGTCGTTAACGGCCCGGGCAGCAAGTCAAACAAGGCCGACATCGGCCTCATCGCCGCCATCGCCCAGGAGGCCCTCGCCATCCAGGGCTCGACGGGTTTCCGAGCTGCGGATGCGGTTGCGCGCGCCGACACCCTGGGCAGGCAGCTGGCCCACTCCAACGCCTTGCTTGAGAAGGAGCGTGAGCTGGAGGCCCTGCGCGCGCAGCTGGACGCAGTCAGGTCAGCCCCCCCTTCAGGACCAACCCACCACCACCCATGGCCATGCCAACCTTACGGTTATAACTGGCCGAATCGCGGGAGATGCGCGCGGAACTGCGTCTGCCGTAGCAGGTTGCACTCTNGATGTTGTAGAAAAGTCGCTCCTATGTACTGCTTAATTTATTTTACACTTAGATCAGCCATGACTAATCGTTATTTAACCCACCTGATTTTCTCTGAAGCCAGTCCGTTGACCAATCTGTTCGCTAAGTCAATAGTAGCATTGGTCGCATCTGCTTCAGCCTGACACTTCATTTTCTCGTTGACGGCTTCTTGGAAAGCTTTCATCAAAACCCCGAGTTTTTCCTCGAGTTCCTACAGTAAAAACATGTATTTAGTTAAATTAGTTTACGTAAAGAGGGTTGATTAATTCAGTAACTAAAGCACTAGGGCTAGTAGACTCAGTGGCGTAGCTTGGGGGGGGCAGGGGGGGCCATGGCCCCGGGCGGCATATGAAAGGGGGCGGCGGATTAGAAAAAAGAACATTGCATGAATAAGAAAAAAAAAGGTCGACTATGTCTACGTTGAGACTAACAAATCTAGCTATACTGGCAATTGAAAATGAGATACAAATTGATCAATATCGACGATTGTGTAAAAGATTTTGCTTTGAAAAAAGCACGAAGAGTACATTTTGAATCTATTTTTTTAAGTAATAGTAACAAAAATATTTAAGGAGCTTACTTACCCCTCTAAAACTTGCGCCACAGATAATCATTCGTGATTTCTCTTGTTACAAACCGAAATAAAAAAGTGGTTTGTAAATAGTTAAAGCCATATCTAAGCTACTTTTAAAACCGTGTATTTATTATATTCTGCAAGTTCGAAATTTTAAATTAGCTAAAATGGTAACTTTTAGCAGTAATTAAATCTGTAACTTGCTGCAAATATCTAATGAATTCAAACAAAACATTTTAAAAAATAGCTTCGATACATATTATACATTTTTCAAACCACTTTTTAAATTTCTATAACAAAAGTAATCAAGAAAAAATATGGTGGCGCTGGTTAGCTAGGGTACAACCCTTAATAATATTAAGCACATAATTATGTTATTCCTTCTAAGTTCAATGAGCACTATACAGTGTGAGTCACGTTAAAGTGTACATATGAAAATAGATGAAACTAGACCTATTTTTATCGACAAAAAAGAGGTCAAAAAATTTTAGAGAATTTTTTTAAATTTAACGTAACGTTTTATCGTAAATTTTTTTTAAACGTAACGAAAACGTAATAACTTTTAAACTAAGCGGTATATCCTGATAAAATAAAAACAGTAATAATGCTAAATAACAGGCGATACTAAAAAAACACATAAAATACACAAAAAAGGCCAACAAATAATTAAAAATTATACTTTTTGAAAAAAATTTGCTTTTAAATTCGTGTTTTTTTTGGATATTTGATAAATTTCTCCAAAAAATGCCCCTATATCCGGTGGTTTTTATTACTTTGTATTATTCTCTATCGTATTACCTTCGTAAAACCAAAAATCGCATGTCTCTATCCCTATCACAATGTTTGCAATGATCTTTTGAACTAAGACTCTCCGGGCGCGCCATTCAACGCTTCGTTAACAACGAAACTGAAAATGGCTCTAGATTTGTAATATCGATAAAAACAAGTTAGATTTCAAATAAAAACGAAAAATTTCGAAGTAAAATAAGCATTTTTAAAATTGTCTCTACTTGTAGCGGAGAATAATGTTGTGGCAGGCCTTTGTTCAAACGATCATAGCAAATGTTGTGATAGGGATAGAGATATGCGATTTTTAGTTTTACAAAGATAATACGATAGAGAATAATACAAAGTAATGAAAACCACCTGTTATAGGGGCATTTTTTGGAGAAATTTATCAAATAACCAAAAAAACACGAATTTAAAAGCAATTTTTTTTTCAAAAAGTATCATTTTTTATTATTTGTTGGCCTTTTTTGTGTATTTTATGTATTTTTTTTAGTATCGCCTGTTATTTAGCATTATTACTGTTTTTATTTTATCAGGATATACCGCTTAGTTTAAAAGTTATTACGTTTTCTTTACAATAAGTAATTGGAAGAAAAAAAAATCTATAAAAAAATAAAAAAAGATCTCAAAAAAATTTTGACCACTTTTTTGTCGATAAAAATAGATATAGTTTCATCTATTTTCATATGTGCACTTTAACGTGACTCACACTGTATATAATTTAAGATAATATTTACTCTCAACTAGGGCATGAATATCGGAATCTCGGAATCTCGTAATATCGGAATCTCGGACTGCGAGATCCGATATTTCAATTCCGATATTGAGCGACCCAATATCGTAATATCGGAATCAGATAAAAGTTTTAATTGAGATTTTAAACAAAGCGTTTAAACTCGCCACAACCTGCCACAAAGCCCAAAGTACATGATTGGCAAAGACCAATGATTTTCTCATGTCTCTCACCATCAATTTTTGTTCCATTGCAAATATTTTTATATCTTTACTATTTATGGTTAATTTAACTTGACCTAAATCAATTTTAGCATTTGCCATAGGTCAACAAAGAACGACATCTCAACTCCCTTTCAAACATTAATTTTACTGGACATGGACCGTCAGTTCAGCGTACTATGTGCCCTGCCCATTGCCACTTCAGCTTGCTAATCCGTCGGGCTATGTCAGCGACCTTAGTTAGTTTACGGAGCTCCTCATTTCTGATTAGATCTCGTAAAGAAACACCAAGCTTATCCCTCTCCATAGCACGTTGTGCCCTATATTCAAAGGCCACGTTTTCGAGCCGTATATCATCACTGGTAACACACACTAATTGAAGACTTTCGTCTTCGTATTCGACGATTTACCTCTTTCTCGAAATTGCATCTAACTACCTAGCTGATCGTTTGTCCGAGATAGACATACTTACTTGTCAACAATCTCGAGAATCGAGCTCCTAACCGAAACTGGGTAAGGAGCAACATGGACATTCGACATAAGCTTCGTTTTTTCCATATTCATCCGAAGGCCTACCTGTTGGGAAACTCGATTAAGGTCTTCGAGCATTGTGATAAGGTCTTCCAACGGTTCTGCCTTAGTACGCAAAACAGACGGACGATGAGGCAGCAAGGTTCTGAAGTGGAGGCCACGTACCGGAAAGCGCAGCGTAGGACTCATAACCACAAGGTGGACCGACGACCTCATAAAGGTAGCAGGAAGGCGCTGGATGCAGGCCGCCACCAACCGGCCATTGTGAAAATCAGCATCGGAGCCTGTGTTCAGCAGTGGACGTCCTATGGCTGACATGATGATGGTTTTGTGAGTTGTACATACTCCTTTATAATGCGAACAGTTAGGGACTGGAATTCGCTGCCTGCTGCTGTATTTCCTGAACACTATAATCCGGGCGTTTTCAAGGCGAGAGTGAATAGGCACTTACAGGGCAGATATGTACCATCCTAGACTGCATCTCACTTAACACCAGGTGCGATTGCGGTCAAATACCTGCCTTGTCTAGCATAAAAAAAAACATCGATAATCAAAAAGGAACGAATTACAAGCATATTCAAGTTTTTTACCACTCTCTACAATTTTTGTAACACGTGATTTGAATGACTCTAAAATTCGTTCCGCCAACATAAAACAGGGTAATATAATGAAGGAGTAAAAAAGTTTGTTTGATACCTGTGATTTTACAAAAACACTTTAATTATTTGCTAGTCCATATAGGCTCATTATCAGTAACCATATATTATCAGGTGATCTGTCTGCTCGTTTGCCTCTTGTCACATAAAAAACCAAATGCAATGGATACCCATAACGTAAAAATGGTTATAATACTTCAATTTTATGAAGTGCTGTTGTGTATAAAATTAAAGATTTTGATGAAAATCATTATTTTATTGTAAACAATCCAGAATTCTTACGAATATAACCAAATATTAATTTTATAGCACATGAACTCAATTCCGATATTAATATCGGAATTCCGATATTGAGATCTAATATCGGAATCCAATATCGGAATTGAAAACCTTCCGATATTACATGCCCTACTCTCAACTGACAAATAAATACTTTAATAGGTACTTGTTATTATTGTTTATTGTTAAATACACCTAGTGTTGCATTAATAAAGCTGAGCTATTTAAGAAAATCAAACTTCCTGTGGGTTTCAAGCAATTGCTTCTCTTTAATGTATTTTCCTTCTGAAGCAGTGCGTGGTAGTTTATTTTGACTTTCAACAAATAAGGTGAATAGTGTACCTGAAGTCCATTCAATGTAATATAAATTTAAACTTTAAAATATTTATAATTAAAATAAAGGGCGGCGGATTTCCGGACGGCCCCGGGCGGCGAAAAGCCACGCTACGCCACTGAGTAGACTCCACCTACAAGACCTACAAAATCAAAATCAAAAATATTTATTCAGTTTAGACCACAAGTGGCACTTATGAACATCAATAGATAAGGTAAGTGCCCCCTACTTCGGTATATTAAGGCTCTTACGACTTTAACATTTTATTTAAAAATAACCAAGCATGATATCAGTATGAAAGCCTTTGTATGCTAAACTTTGGTCTTTTGACAGTAAGTTAATACATAATTTATAGTTATATAGTTTGAACTTTTTTTAATATTAATTGTTCTGCGGACCTCTTGTTTGGATCCTGTTTCGTGACAAAATTTTGCTCTGTTTCTGAGTTCGTAAACTCATGTCCCCTATTTCGGGATAAGGTTTTATGCATACAGTTAGGATATTTTAATAATGATTAAGGGTTTAATAAATTTAAAAACGATAATAAAAATTTAGAATAAAATAATTATGTGAAATTGACGATATTTTACCTGAAATATTCATAAGAAATAATGTGAGTAGTATAATATTTTGATTTGTTAATACTAACAATATGTGAAAATATTTATATAACCATTAGAAATGTAGGGGGGGAACTACCCCATATACAATACAAATAAACAAAGATAAATAAAACAAATCGAAATAAAACCAAAATTATGCTGGTACTACTTATGCTAATTTATCTTAAAATTGGTCATATATGTAAACTTCAAACTCGTGTCATATAAATTCTAGTGAACGAAACATATACCGAATTTAGGTCATGAGAAACTTATATAAATGCATTATTTGTTTCATAACTTACATTTAAATTATCATAAATAATTATTTAAAAACCAAGCATCAAAATGTTATCCATAATATCCTTGAATCGGTAGTGTCACGAAATAGGGGACACCCGAAAAATAATATGTACGCTATTTCGTGAGTCAATTAATCGCAATTTTAAAGGAATTCTACGTTTTCATATAACTTTTTTCTAAGCCAAATCAATTGTCAAGGAACACATGAAACTACTTACAAGTTTTATTTAAATGGACGTTTCTTCGCCTTTTTATAAGCTTAAGAAGTTGGAGCGCTCACCTTACGGTGAGAGCAACCTTTGCAAGCCGCACGGCTGTTTTTGGCTCTCTGAGAGTTTGAAGCTTCGTATTGCTCTCATTTTTGGCGCCACAATGTTGGTACTTGGTTTTTTAGATAGCTTAAATAATAGAGTTTTTGTAGTAATGAAGAATTTTTATAAATAATATTCCATTTGCTTATTATTTGAGCTAGAAAAAAAACTTACGAACTTACGTACTATCACGAACTAGTAGCCGTTTACCTTATATCTTAAATTTGTTTATTGGCAATTCGACAAGGTTGTGTGGTATTTTGTTAAATATGGTAATACATTTCCCCAAGAATGAATTACCTATCTTATGCAACCTAAATGATGGAACAGCAAGTTTATTCTTATGTCTCGTGTTAAATGAGTGGACGTCACTTTTCTTAGTAAATAAATGTATATGTTTACGGACATACATAATGTTATCAAATATGTATTGAGAAGCCACAGTCAATATATTGATTTCTTTAAAAACTTCTCTAAGCGAGTTACGTGGTTTAAGACCGTATATTTCCCGAACAGCTCTTTTCTGTAAAATGAAAATTGAGTTTGTAGACGAGGATTTTACCTTAATCTGGTCTGTAAGCATAGCCAGCTTGTCCCTGGCAGCTTGCAACTCCGCATTGGCTGCGTTCAGAGCGCGCCTCTTGGGCTCGACCACCACGTACACATCGTAGAACTTGCAGATGTTGATCACCCACGCGCAAAGACCCGCTGCCGCAGCCGACTTGGACATAATGAACTCCGCATTGAAGTCTGGATTCTTGATGTAAGGCTGCACAGCCTAGGGTTACAGATTAACACATTAGACACACATGTTACAAAATTTAGGTATAAAAGCTTAAACGTTATTGGTAACTTTACCTTGATGACATCGGGATGGATATTTTCCTTGTCGTAGTAAACCAGGTCGTATAAAAACTGATCGACTTTTGCCATCATTAGCTGAAAATTACAATAAGGCACTGAATTTCCTGTAGTTAATGAAATGGTGCTCAAAGCCTTCACATTCGCACAAGAGCAAATTAATTTTCCATTACTGATGGTACTTTTATTTTATGGATTACAAATTTGATTTTATGGATGGATAAATGCCTAATTTTATTGTTTACAAATCACATATTATACCTCTATGAGGTAGCAATGTAACATTCTGAACATCTTGTACCTACTACCCTTTATTGTTGGAACTTCTGTATCATTGCGAAGTGAATAAATGAATATGAATATGAATACTCCATGGCTTTCACATTTCTTCTTCGCACATTTTGATTATTAGCTTACAAACCTTGCAAGCTTTCCATGACCTGTCCTTTGGAATCTTCCCCTTCTTGGAAAACAGCACGAGCACAGCAGCTGTCACGGTGACTACCGCGTCGGGCGGCGAGCCGAAGGCCTTCAACTCAGTCAAGTTGTTCTTGTTCAAGGTGTTCAAGGCCTCTTGCGCCGCGAGCAGAGCCGGCTCTGCTTTAGCCAAGTCATCAGCGCAAATCTTGGCCTTAATCGTGACGTCTTCCTCAATCACTTTGACCTTCTTCTCCTCCTCGGCAGCTATTAATGGTAAAAACTATTCAATAAGATGTAATTGGTCATTATAAGTATGTATAGCCATATCATACAGTATTCAGTACAGTGAAAAATATTCCTTTGATATTTGAATTCAGTTACATCTACTTACCAAACGCCTTTTCTTTGGATACTTTTTCACTTTCAGCGCCCACCACTTCAATGAGTTCTTCGGCCGCTTTGTTTTTAATTTTCAAATCGATTTCTTGCTCTGCTAGAGTCACCTATTCAATATTTATGATTAGTCATCGATGTAGCTGCATATTAACTGCCTAAATATATGTTTCAAAGTATTTTACCTTTAACACAGCCACATCAGCAGCACATGAGGCCAGTTTTTCCAATCCGTTTTCGAGTCTCGCTATCATCATTTTGAGATTCGTCGTCTTCTCGCTGATGAGTTTGGAATAGAGGGCGATCTGTTCCAAGAAAGTCTTCGGCGTCGTGTAATTGTACCGACGCTCGTTTTGGAAGTAAACTGCTGACATTAGGTTCACGCTCTGGTGGACGTGGGCCATGAACATTGCTACTGCATCCACCAAATGAACCTATGGAAAAAATGTATTATACGTTTTCACTAAATACTTACTCAAACTAGCTGCCCATGCCAACATTAATTTTCCAAAACGTCATGCCAAAATTCGTGTCTCATTTATTTATTTATCACCACATGATCTATCAAGCGTCTCCACTAGTTCAATTTACCTTTCACGCACTTATTGCATTTGTTTCTGTCCATTGCCTTAGTTTTTCAAATTCAAATCTTTATAAGTATTCATGTATAGATCGTGCCATCCACGAAGACGCGCCCCACCATTCTTCCGCTAATGTGTTATCGGTACACGCTTAATTATCCATGAGTGCACACGCACACTACATTAATGACGCTCAGATTGCTCGGATCAAACTCCCCGCACCCCGCGCTTCCCTCGACCAAAAATTGGTGGGGCGCGTCTTCGTGGATGGCACGATCTATAGTTCCTCTTCAGGAAACTTCACCCGTCCCAAATAAAGCATTATTCAATCGTATGTCATTACCGGTAAAGCCTCGACTTCAGCGATGAACCGCTTGGAGACAGAGCGCAGCGCCTCCTGCGGCCACTCGTGGAACCAGTTGATGGCGGTGCAGTTGACGATGGAGGGGAACTTGCGCGCGCGCACCCTGAGAGTCGCGCCCACGGGCGAGAAGCACAACACCACCTGGATAGGAACGAAATTCAAAATCAATCGCACACGAAAGCTTATATTCAGACTATACATTCTGGCATAGAAAAACACATTCTGTGAAAATTTTAATTTATGGAAGGGTAACGGACTCCTATATAAAAAATACATAATAGTGTAATCAAAGAATATAACTATTATTAATCACAGTATAACTGTATCATTGTAACCTACCTTTAGCATGGTTCGCACTCGGTTGATGAAGAATCTCCAACAATTTTCACGTGTATCTGGTACACCCGATGCTTTCGTCTACAAAACAGTTTTAAGTTATTGCTTCATATAGAAAAGAAGATAAAATTTTCTTACTTCTCAAGGATTGACAATTTAAAAGCTCACCTCTCCCCTGACACCATTGATGAGATTCTCAGTTTCATCATCGGCGAACAACTCTGGAATTTCTCCAGACGCCAACAAATCGTTGATCAGCACCAAGAACCGCTCCTCGGCGACCTGGGCGTCCGTCATCAGGAACACGTTGCCGATGTTCTTAAGACCCGCCTTGACGTACAAGCCAGCTACCAATAAAAATAAGAGAAGTGCTTTATCCAAAGATAGTTTGGAAGGTAGTGAATTTGTTTGAATTTTATTTCGATTGGCAAGTGAAAAGTCAAAATATAAATTTACTCTTACACATTCCTCGATGTTAGACCTTAAAGGCGGTTCTGAATATATATTTTTTTATAAAATGAAGTTTGTATCTGCGTACGGGCAACCCTTTTGGTGTTTCTATTGTCAAGAGGTTATGATACCATGAGGCTTATGAGTGTTCAGTTTGTTACCATGAATATTGAGTATTGATTGTTTCTCATAGACAGGCATTTTATCAACTTACCCAAATCGAGCTTCAAGTCGTTGATGCTGTAGCCTTTGCGCAGCTGAACCTGGAACACCTCGAGCGAAGAGATGAAGGCCGACAGCCGCGACAACGACTGCTTGCCCGACCCGCCTACGCCCACCAGTAACGCGTTGCCACGCGGCGCTTCTAGGATGCGATTGATTCTATGGACAACAATCATCATCATCATAGTCGACTGTAGTCGTCATCGTCATCATCACATTGAAGTCATTTCGTCTCTACTATAATGGACGACCTACTTAATTTGGCAAAGGCAAAAGTGAGGATTTCACCTATAGATACCTACCTACTATCCACACTGGCCAGGGCCAGACATAATAGGCCTGATAACCTTGAGGAATAACATGATTGAAGAAATACCTATATTACATTTTCAGGCGCTCTAAACAAAGTAACATTCGTGACAGTTTTAACTCCGAAATCTCTACCGCTTTTTAGTAAGTAAATAGGTATATCGCAATCGCGTAAAACAATATTTGGTGAAATACAGTACGCTGGACTTTTATCACAGAGCTTTCGGTAGGTTTTTTGTCAGACCAATTAATAAACCAATCGTGCTCTTACCTGCAGATATGATACATGGCGTCCTCGAATAGCACCAAGTTCATGGTAGCAACTAGGTCGTTATAGCCAGACAACGACTCATCTAGCAACTTCTTGATTTGAGGCCAATCCCTGATTGGGAAGTACTTGGGATCGCCCACTCCTTCCGCGAAATGACAATATATCAGGGGTTTTTCAAATACTACATTCTCATCGAAGTCCTGGAAATGAAAAAAAGGTAGTTAGAAATTTGAAATTAATTCTCAACTTATGCTTAGATAATGCTTAAGGAGTGATGTCCATTCGTAGGTACAAAGTCAATTCTCATTGGTAGATGCTATGAGAGGAAATGATATTGATATAATTATTACCTCGCAATTCTTTTTGATAACGTCAGAGATAAGTTTTTGGAAGCTCTCGTTATCAGCAGAATCCACAAGTTTGTCAGAATACACTCTAGTAGCTTCGTGCATCCATAGCCTGATCAACTCAGATTGTGTCTTAATCGCATCTCCGGTTGTGAATAACATGCCCTAAAAGAAAATCAGATATATCTGAGTAGGGAATTGCAAAAAATACAAAAACAGGATTCTCTATACGAGTATAAATGAATGAATCTTCTGTTAAAGCTTAAAAGGTAACCGTTAAGGATTGCGCTGAAAAGCAAGAAATGAAAGGATTTTACAAAATTCAACTCCTAATGGGATGAAACGGGGTCCAAAACTTAACGCGAGAGAATCCAAGGCCACAAGCCAAATACAATCATCTAAACAATAACCTGGAATATATTAGACAGGTCCCTAAGGTTGAAAATGTAGTGGAACTTGATCGCAGTGGGCAGGAACATGCTGGATAGCTTGTTATGCAGCGCGAGCGCCGCATTGACCAGCGGTTCGGCGTAGCGAATCACCGGGATGCCGAACTTGTTCAGTGGATTGGCCACGTGCTGCGACAGAATCTGCTTGTAGATGTGGAAGCACGCGTCTATGCCGGGGAAGCTGAAAAAGGTAGTTTTAAACAGTTTTAGAAACTTTTACTTTTCGAAAGCCTAACTATTTGAAAACCTAGCTATTCGAAAACACAACTTTAGAAAAAATGCATGCAATAGGCGTCATAATGTAAAGCGACTGCACATCAGACAAAACATTTCAGTTGAATGTATTATCTTGATGTGCTGTTATTTAAAAAAAAATCTAAATGGCACAAAATAGAAGCTTTATTTCTTCAAAAAAGCAATAAATAAATTAATATACGTCCTGTCGCTGGTTTCTGGCAGTAACTACTTAGGTTCTCATGTGGGAACATTAGGAAGCCTTTAGTTTACCTCACAGCAAATGTACAGAAATGTCTTTGCAGACGTGGGTCGATTGTGAACGATCCCGCTGTGGGGTTCATGCACGACACGAACATACAGTTCGATATGTCCTTCAGCGACAGCTTTTGTCGATCGTACCTGAAACATTTAATCATTCGGTGATAAACAATCGAGGTCTTCGATTTTTACGACCTTTTTTTGGTTTTTAAAGCATTAAAAAAGACATTACCAATGCTTGTAGTCCATGAATTGCCTGATAAGTGTATGTGGCTGCACAGTGCCGTAAGTGTCGACTTCAGGCATGTTCAGATCATCCACGAAGTAGATCATAAACTTACTGCCAGGAGGCCCGAAGTTGCGACCTGATTTCTTCTCCAATGGCTTCTCTAATACTTTTTGAATCATTTCTGAAGGTAACAGAAAGAATTAGGCTAGACAATGATGCAAGAGTCTATCGAGCTAAGCGTTCTTTAGTTATTGTAATAATAATAAAAACGGAAAGGGAAGAACGTTAAATTGCAATTAGCTCAATGATAAGTCAACAGTGACAGTAGGCCTAACAATTTTTTACCATATCACTTACCAGAAGTAGTATAGAAATTAAGTGGAGCGTTGGCAATGGCGAAGGAATCTGGCAAGGAATTCAGTTTGGCCGCAACGCTCACAGTTTTCCCGCTGCCGGCACTGCCTACCAACATCACAGGCTTCTGCTTCGCGATCAGCAGATCCATGAAGAATCTGATACGGGTCGTCTCCGACGTCGATACTAGACATGACTGTAAAAAGAGGACATTTGGAAGCGCAAATCTACAGTAGCAAAGAATCCATGTATACGTTAAACCACATTATGTTTAAATGGCCTAATTTTCAAGCTATTTCGTGTGTTGATTATTTGACAGAATAGAAAAAGAAAAGACGCGGTAAACCCAGAAGGTCTATAGGAATAACTTTACCTGTAAAGGCAGATCAGGATCAAGTTCAAAGTTCTCAATTTTCTCAGACCATGGGAGCCACTTCTTTGTCTCAGAGTCGATGAAGAAACTGAACACATTGCCGGTGGAAGGGAACTTGATTTGTTTGAACTCATTGCAGAACCATTTGCTGAATTCGTTACGCCAGTCCACGAGCTGATCTTGGAAGAGTGCGGAACCGAAACCCCACACGATGCAAAAAACGAAGTATGTCTCATACCTAACGTTTAAAGACAAATGTTAGATTTAAACTTGAATCTATTTTTAAAGATAATCCATAAAAATAATATTTTGGAACCCACCATTCTTTTGGACAGTCACTAGGCAGCAGTGACTTGTTCAAGAAACACTCTAGTAAATAACACGTAAGCTGGATCTGTTGCAGTTCAGTGAGCGGCGTCACACGCTTGTACTTCTTGCAAGACTCCAGAAGTGACGGAATGTACTTGTCGAACATTACCGTCAGCATTGCTTTCTCACTCTCATCGTCTCTTGTTGTATCGATCCAGGATGCCACAAATCTGAATAATTTGTATTAAAAAATGTGTAGGTAAAATAATAAACTGTTAGTAGTTTTTTATACGAGGGCTGCACTAAAAGTATCGGGAATGGAATATTTCCACTGTTCCAGTCATATTAAAATCTATTTAATTGCAAACTCCAGGGTTTTAAAAATCGTATACCATTTATTTATTTTAAAAAAGATTCTCGGTCGTATCACAAGGTCTTGTCAAACTTGTTTAGTCGTTGAGAAAATGGAATTGACTCGAGAAAATTCAAGAGCGATGATTTATTATGACTTTTGAAGTGTTTTAACACAAAAACAGTGTGTTGACCGGATGATTTCTGCATTTGGTAATGAAGCCCCATCCAAAACCACAATTTATCGCTGGTTTCCTGAATTTCAACGTGGACGTGTCAAGCTCAGTGATGATCCCCGTCAAGGTCGTCCAAAAACTGCAGTCACCTAAGAAAACGTTGATGCTGTGCGTAAGCTGATTGAAGAAGATCGACATGTGATATACCGCGAAATTCAGGCAACTTTAGACATTGGCATGAGTCAAATACAAATAATCTTGCATGAACAATTAGGTGTAAAAAAGTTGTTTTCCCGATGGATACCGCATTCGCTCTGTGAAGAGCAAAAAGCGGCTCGCGTTACTTGGTGCGTCAGAACTCTCGGGAGATTACATGCAGGATCCTCAAATGCTGTATACAACATCGTATCAGGTGACGAATCATGGATATACGCGTACGAACCCGAAACAAAAAACCAGTCACGAGTTTGGGTGTTCGAAAATGAATTAAAGCCAACAAAAATTGTTCGTTCACGGAGTGTTGCAAAAAAAATGGTGGCCACGTTTGTCTCCAAAACCGGCCATGTTGCGACTATTCCTCTTGGGGGACAAAGAACGGTTAATGCAGATTAGTATGCTAGCATTTGTTTACCACAGGTCGTTTCTGAACTCCGTAAAGAGAACTGCAACCGCCGCATCATCCTCCATCACGACAATGCGAGTTCTCACACCGCGCACTGAACAAAAGAGTTTTTAGAGCAAGAAAACATAGAATTATTAGTCCATCCGCCGTACAGCCCCGACCGAAGCCCTAATGATTTCTATACTTTCCCTAAAATAAAGAATAAATTGCGTGGTCAGAGATTTTCATCACCTGAAAAAGCTGTGGAAGCCTACAAAACGGCCATTTTGGAGACCCAAACTTCCGAATGCAATGGTTGCTTCAATGATTGGTTTCGTGTATGGAAAAATGTGTCAAATTTCGCGGAGAATACTTTAAAAAGCAATAAATACATTTTTTAAATAGTAATGTTGTTTCACTTCCTTGATTCCCGAAATTTTCAGTGCCGCCCTCGTACTATAGGACCTTCTACCTCGGCATATTTGTAGACCGACACCGTGTTGTGTCTCAAGTAAAATAAAAAATGTTTAATAAACAGTTTGCTATACTTACGGATTCCACCCCAAATCCTGAGGATTAATGTACAAGATACCAGCACGTGAGACAGTAGCAGGGGTGGCTGTGCGCAAGTTGGAGATCTCAAACAACAATCGCATCGTTTTATTCAAGGCGATTCGCTCGTTACTAGCCAACGTTAGCACCTGGTCAAAGCAAACCACGTTTTATATAGGTACTTACGAGCAAAAGTATGGAATCTCCTCGTTATGTTTGGTTCCAAGCCATCTTAAGAACTGAATGACTATGTATGTATCTATCAAATTAAAGACTATAAAATATTACCTTTAAAATGGTAACTACTATTTTTATTTATCTTCTATATTTTTTTTATTTATAACTATTTTCAACCGACTTCAAAAAAGGAGGAGGTTCTCAATTCGACCCGTATGTTTTTTTTTTCTATGTTTGTTACGCGATAACTTCGCCAATTATGAACCGATTTGAACAAATCTTTTTTCGGCGTATAGGTAATACCTCAAGGGTGGTCCCATTTAAATTTAATAATAGAAAAAACAACCCCCAAGGGTGGAAAATTGGGGATGAACTTTTTTATACGCAATATCTCCGCCGATTATAAATCAATTTGAACGATTATTTTTTTGTTGAATAGGTATTATCAAAAGGGTGGTTTCATGCGAATTTGAAGAAAATATTTCACCCCTAAGGGTGGAAAATTGGGGATGAACTTTTTTATACGCAATATTTTTAATTTTTAGTTTTTTTTGTGTTCACGCATTTGAAGTCGGTTTTATTTTTTTTAAAAAGGTAATTAGTTCTTACGATCGCTCGGAACAAGTAGGGTGATTCCATACTTTTTGTCACGAGTTTAGAAGTCCAGTCCAGCAAAATTAGTCAATGTTATAAATCTATGGTCTAAATAATTTCTAACCTTATTATCATCCATCAAGGTATTCAAACTTTCAATCCACATAGGATCAATATCTCCATCTAACACAATCCATTTAGGTCCATCACCTGGCATATTGGCCATGTCTCTCATGATGGTCGAAAATAAGCCATCCTTCCACTCTCTCGTGGCTGGATTGATTATACCAAACAACTCGTCATTGGTGACAGCTTTAGGGTCCAGATCGTTGTAGAAAGGTTTCATTTTGAGCATGTAATAGGTTTTGTTAAGGCACTGCCACACCATGGACTTGCCGGTACCAGCAAATCCATCAATGAATACCGAGTGTCTTACGGCAAACAACTCGACTAGTTGGACCATCTGGAAATATTCACTGAATTATAACTTTGTTTTGCCAACTACAGCTGGATTTTAAAGAATTTTAGAATTTATATGTCACCTTTAGAATAAACCCTGGTTCTGGTTGCAGTTTCATGGAAATAGCGGCGTCTACCAAACTCTTTTCGAAATCGAAGTCTCGTTTTCGTGGCACGTCTAGCGCAGGGAACAAATCTCCGATCAGTCCCATGAATACAGGCGTATCGTCAGTTACGATTTTGGGAATATTGAAATCTCTCAAAGCTCTCATTAGCACCTGGTCTTCTGGTCTAAGGCGGTCACCTCTCTGGAATACAAAACGGCAACATAATAACAGTGTGGAATCCAAAGGAGTTCAGTATCAGATGTTCCATATGGATACTATACAAACCTTGAGTGATCCGGCTACTACCAGTACAGACTTGATAGCTCTCAAGCCCCAATCGTAGTGGTCCTGTTTTGATAGCAACTCCTTACACAAGGTGTACAAAGTAATAAACTTGCGCGCCAGCAGACGTGCCTCTTGAAAGCCTTCCGCCACCAACATGATTTCGCAAATCAACTCGAAGTCCGGTACCACCATGGCACATGGCCTGAAAAGTGCCTTTAAGTTCTCCGGTAACTCCGTCCTTCCGGCATAACCGGGGTTCATGGTGATGAACATGCCGACTGTTGGTATAAGCGTAATGAACTCTCCCATGAAGTCGAACTTCTTTTTCTTGGCCTTGATGGCGTCTTGTACACTCTTTACCTGCACAGACACTACGGACAGCACTTCCACCGAAATTCTGTTGAACTCATCGAAGCAACCCCATGCGCCGGTTTGGGCAAGACCTATGAAGTTTTTGTTAGAAGGCAATGATTTAACATACATATTGAAACAGTTGACGAACGACTTTTTATGATAGTACTTACCTTTGTAAATGTTGCCGCAAGACTTGTAGTCCATTTGCTCAGAACAATTGAACACGTATACCATGATGCCCAGAGCTCGCCCCAAGTCCTTCGTAGTCTCCGTTTTACCGGTACCGGCTGGTCCGGCCGGAGCACCACCCATAATCAAATGGAGACTCTAATAATAAGAAATAATAAGAATGAAATCAGTGGTTTATTGAACACTATTTAACAATTCACACAGCCAAGTAAGTTACCTGAGTCAACGTAATGTAGCAGCGATCAGTCAGTGGCGTAATGACAAGTCGAGGAGTGTTACCCAGATACTCGTAATCGTAAAGGAACTGAGCGTCGCAGATATTGGCGAAACAATTATTCAGGTTATTATCCCAACGATGTCTGGAATGGAATGAAAACAATAAAATATTTGAAGTCTTATTTGCCAATGTAGAGTACTTGTTGTTAAGTTATTACCTCAATTGACTCTGCCACTGGAAGGCATTTGAGCTTTCCACTTTTGAAACAATCAGTTTAGCTACCACGTCTCGCGAGTGGACATCAATGGTGCAAATAGTCATAATCTTCTGTCGGTCACCGACTGTTAAATCTCCGAGTAAAAGCACAATTAGTGCATTTAGCTGAGCGATTTGTTTCTTCTGATAGTCTTTTAATGCTCCCTCGTAACCTGACATAAAAAAATGAGATCACAAAACTGATTTTTTTTAAAGCCTAGGTAGGTACTTCTTATAAAAACTTTTACGCGTCCCATTATTGGGTGAATACCACTGCTTCAAGACAATATAAATGTGCCAGTGTTGAGAAGAAGCAGCGCAAAAAAGTCAGTCATTAATACGATTGATTCGATGTGTATTTAAGACTCTTACCTTCTTCAAGCTTTTCAAAGGCCTGATTTGTCTCTGTAGTCCACCAAATCTGGGTGCCCACCAAAGCAGGCTGTGCTGGCCAGTCGAACACCCATTCGTCTCGAGGTTTGTCTTCGTAAGATTTTACGCTATGCTCAAAAATATCACGTAAAGTATATCGCATGCAGTCCGTGACACGGTTGAGCCATACTTCCACCTACGATCAAGATTTATTATAATGTGATTCTGGTAGAGCTAGAAGTCTAACAAGGTCACTGATTAACAAGATTGCGTCAGCTGTGGATTATAAAATGCAATGTTCAAAGGAAAAATATTATTTTTGCAATACCTTCCCAGAGCAATCACAGCAAGGTGCCTTGAATGGCACATGTTCTTCATTCTCCTTGGAAATCATTTCGAAAGCATGCTTACTGCCAGTCTTGGGGAACACCAACTTAGCCAAGTTGTCGTACAACTTTGTGAGATGCTTTGAAACGGCCGGTGGATTGTTACCGTTGGACAAAATATCTGCAAGATGAATTCGTTTATGGTGAATACATCACAAGCATGCCTTTACTGCGGTTATAGACAATAGATTACCCAGCAGATCCGCTGAAGACACGAAGTAGAAACGAGGGTACGCCAGCCTCTTCGTTTCCAAATAATCATTGAGCGCTTTCTCGCAAAGGTTAAGGGCAGCCATCAGCTCCTCCAGTTTGTCTAGCAAACCTGGTTTATTAGTAGCTTGGACTACATTGGGTGTATTACCAATATCTCTAAGCAATTCCTGTAAGTCAACAAATGTAAAATACACTCGACATCAAATAAATCGCACCTCCCGCGACAAGCACTTTCAAACGTATGTATGTGTCTTTAGAAGGATCCAGAGTCACTTATAAAAAATAGGTAGTTACGCTTGAGTCAACTTTTAAGGCTTTAAAAGTTGGGATTAATCGCTATCTATCTATTAAAGAGGACACGTGAGATCATTATTTGGTTTTATTTTAAAATTGGTCTAATTGATCCCAGAGGTGAGCCCCAATGAGGTCTTTTTTCAAGTCACATTTATGGTATATATGTTAATCATTTTAAGTGTGTTATTCTTTAAGTTTATTTAATGGGCTTCCATTGTTGGGGCACCATGATTGTGTCAGAAGAAAATCTTAAAGTTCGCGTCGCGGAAGGTGCTGTTTATTTGATGTTGAGTATAGTTAATAAAACAATTTTTAGGTGTGGTTTTATCATTCGAACGTTTGATATACCAAGTTCGATCATTATTGTGACTGAGAATCACAATTCTCTTTAAATCAACCAACCTTAAATGTCTTGTCAATATGATCGAATCTCCTGGAATCTTCAGGCAATTGAGCTCTGATATCGTCAGAGCCCACAAAAATACTCTCGAGGTACTGCCATTTTCTTTGCACTTCAAACCAGATGGCAATCACAGCGTCGGCTGTGCCCAGTTTCTTCTGCCACGCTGTTACCTCTGCCTCGTAGAACCCAATGAATTTGGATGACATCATGTTCTGGACTTGGTTCTAAGACAAAATGTTTTTTATGATAAATCCGAAATCCAGTGCCATTTAAAGCATCCAGTATATTTAATTTTACCTGGTTATCTTCAAGAGTTTCAACCAATTCTTCGCTAGCTTTAGGAAGTTTAATACCAGTTCTATCGTGACTTGTATAATCGAACTCCATAACAGCCCAGGTCAATTCTAACTCCCTGCACAAAAAGAACGATATTTTTTAAATTGTGCTTTTATTAATATAATCTAGGTAAGATTTACTACAATAATGTAAATATCTTACTTGAGCGTCTTATCCATAGCAGCTTCTTTGACAGACTTATCGACAATAGTTTTTACTTCTTCCTCGTACTTGTGAAGGCTCAAAGCTAACAAGTCTGCCAAAGTTGTATCATCGGTGATGTTGAATTTTACCTAAACAGATAAAGTAAATCTAAATAATTTAGGTACATGTAAACATAAACTTTGTAGAAAACCGTAGGCAGTTCCAGTAAGCTGTTTGCTCTATTGCATTATTGTCACTTGCATGGATTCATCTTAATTTCATACACATAATATTTTAATTCACTTACCTGTTAGTATTGAAACCGTGATTCAAACTTTATAAAATGAAACGTGAATGAATTAATGAAGGATGAAAAATAAAGATATTGTTACAATGTCATATAATATATTTTACAAAATGAATTCTGACAATATAATGGCATGATCGTTAAGCTTCTGATGCAATGACCCCCTTCTATTAGATTTTACTTCCACGCCAATCTTCTTCATATCTTGCATAGAATATGATTTATTTAGTTTCCTGAATTTCCTTCCTAAAGTTTGACTTTCTTGCAATTTGGGTCTCCTATAATCTTGCATTTGGAGAAACTTTTTGTACTCTGATTTCATAACTTTATTCTCTGATTTTGTTGTTTGACTATCTAATTCATCTGTTGAGGCTGCATCTTCTAAAGACTTGAAATCTTGCAGTAGCTCCTCTAATGAAACTCTACTTACAATTTTATGTTTAGCTAAGTATGGTGTGAGATGGACATTTTCGGTGTTGATTGACGTAAGGTGTGTGTGAATGGCTTTCTAAATGAAATGAAAAATAAACCCATAATTAATGACACTCATAATTATTTACATAAGAAGTAGATGACATTTTTGTGATAAAAGGTATAATGACAAAAGCTATGTAGTATGTACACAATACAATTATCCTAAAATAATAGAATTGATTATTTACTTTGGTGGCCATCATCAGTTCAACCCAGTGCCTGTCCTTGATAGCGGGATTCTGAAGGTCTGTCACAGCTCGCAGAGAAGTCATCAAATTCTTTATAGTTCCTTCTATTGCAATATACGGCTCCCTATAAAAAGTGTAAATCCATGTAACTAAAATGTCTAAAAACAAACTTTGCAACACAAAATCTTTATAAATAAGTAACACGATATGAATTTTACGGCGTACCAGACTCTCATATCCTTATCAAGCTGTCGCATGTCTTTAGTGAACCTCTTGCACTCCTGGTCCATACCATCTGCATCTATCTTCTTCCACGGTGACTTCTTCCAGAACTCTATAGTTCCCATCACCAGATAATAGTAATCCCAAAGTTGCTGTAAGGGATCAGTGAGGAATCAGTGCATGTATCTTCAAAATACTCTACGTACTTGGTTTGGTATCTTACCTTGATAAGCCTCAGTTCCCTGCGACATGTTTTCAGATTCTTTTCATCAGGCGGTTGAATGTCGAACAACGAGCAGGATTTCTTCAACCCATCAACAATGTCTTCAAAACCCAAGAGCTCTATGTGCACTTTGTCGATTTGTCTGTATGGTTCTCTGCAAGACTCCAGGAACATCTGGTATCAGAGACAAATTAGATTTTTAAAAGCCAAAATGGTAGTCAATGGCTTTCCATAACAACAGTTTATCTATTTCCAGTAGTGGAAGTCTTTAATGCTTCAACCACACCAACGCGTGCAAATCGCCAACGCCGGTGCGATCACGTGAACTGTCATGGGTCTTTGATTGCACGCGTTGTGAGGGTTGAAGCTTTAGTTCTAACGAACGATACATAAATTGGCTGTCACAAGAGTTTAAAAAAGAAAGTTGTTTTGGTGCAGAATGAAACCAACCTGATCTTCACAAACCTACTGGCAAAAAAAAAACAAAGTTTTATTGTGTTGCAATACCTCCTTGAGCTTGAACTGCTCCCGGTACATTGTGAGGCGCAGGTTGATGAGCGCCACGCGCTTGGCGATGAGCGCCGCCTGCGCAGCCTGCAGCGGGGCCACGGTGTTCTTCATCACCGTCGCCAGCTTCACCACGTTCCTCCACCGCTCGGGGAGGACGTCCAACTGAATTTTATTTAATTTTTAGCTTATATTTTCACGCAATTTCATGCAGTACATGAACATCGAAGATAAAGTTAATTTTGAACACACACAGCTTATCTGTTTCACTTCGTCAGGTTACTTAGGTACTTACCAAAGTATGAACAGAATACTGGTGTGTTTCTGGCTCAGTCTTATAATTTTATCCAAAGGAAGGCATGAAAAGTAGGGGGTATAAAAATACAACAAGCAGTTTAACAGGTATCAGGCACATAAACAATGAGGACTATCGTTTTTAACTTAACAGTTGGCACCCCTGGCGATTGATAGGACCTTACTCTACAGTGGCGCCATCTTGATGAGTGCAAATGCGATAGTCCTCCAACCACTTTAGCGCTCACAAGTTGGTGCCACTGTCTTCGCTACTAGCAAGTGACAGGACCTTACTCTACAGTGGCGCTAACTGGTGAGCGCTAAAACGATAGCCCTCATTGGAGTTTATTCGTGGAAATCAGAAGCTAACTGACCTGTTCATAAGTCTCTTCTGGGAAGTCCACTCCATATTCTTTGAGGACATCGATGATGTCCCTCAGCGGCTCAAACATGGTGTCGGTGCCTGCATCCTGCTTCGCCTTCACCTCATTGAGCACCCGCATCACTTGCAGAAGACCTTCGTAGTCATCGTCGTCAAGCTCCACCGACAACTCTTTGGTTGCGTAGATGATGAACTTTTCTAGATCATCCAAACTAAGGGCAAATATAGATAGTAAGTTATTTAGATTTTATTTTACAGCTTTATAACCGAAATGAACAAATTGGTTATTAGTGTACCTGGTCTGTACATGGTCTTTCAAATTTTGCTTGTAAAGATTGCTCCATTTACAGATGATGTTCATAATAGCTTGATTGAGTCGCTTCAGGTCGAGCCGCAGCCATCCGTTACACAGATACTCGGATGGCAATGCAGCAACCTCGTCGTACATTGCGTTGTATTTGTCAATCTGCAATGATGTTGTCAATAAAATAAATCATAACAACACGTAACTCGTGGACTACAGCTTTCTGATTCTGGTGCCTATATTTGGCACCGTTTTGCAAACATCGGATTCACAATGATGACCACGACCACTCTGGCAAGAGTGTACCGACTAGGAAGAAGACCACATAACTATCTTTGAACATTAAATAAACTTTAGAACATAAACTTTGATCAAACCTCTTGCTGATACTGCTCGAGCTTCGGTTTCATTTCAGGTGGGTCGCAACCATTTTCATACTTGTACTTATCAAACTCCTCGGGTGGTATCACACGTCCATATTTCAAGAATCCTTGTAAGACCTCTTGCCTGTCTTCGATCCATAGAGGAGTATATTTTTCGTATTTCTGGAAAGTTCCAAAACATTAAATATCCTATGAAGATTAAGCCGTCAATCTTCATTGGTAGACGAGGAAAACTTACAGAAGCATATGAAACGACGTCGTTGATACTATTTTCGACCCGCTTTAGTATCTCATGGTATAGATCAATCATCGCTTCCTCTTTTTCGATGTCGTCTGCATAAAAAAGCCACAAGTTAATATGAATATCTCCATTTATTTATTTATTAATGTACTCTTATGTGCACGTTAAAATATGCAGTTCCAGACTTACCTTCATAAGAAGCAATAGGCACGATCGGATCTATTCTTGGGAAGAGTGTTGCTTGTAGGAACATATCCTTCATCATCTCTCTCAATGTGTCGTAGAGGCCATCATCATCGTCCATATCCAGAGATGGTGAGAAATATATGTCTGCAAATTAAACTCTTAGACCATTATTCTGTAAATAGACACACTGACAAGAACTATTTCATGGTTTCTACCTGGATCTTTTAATTCAGCAACCACTTCCATAAACGCGACTCTCGGGCCCTTCTCCAAATCTGTCTGCTTCTCAAACAAATCTAAACTGGATTGTATTGCCTTCATAATTTGTTTTGACACCTGTAATATACTTAAGTTATTTTTCTCTGCCATCAAAAAGCACTGTAATAAGATCTTATTTCTGTGAAAGTTCTTACCAAAGAATCAACATATCTGACGTATGCTGGCCAACGTGCAGCCCGGAATGCTTCTTCCTCCATCTCACGTTTTTCTTCTTCAATATCTGCCAACTCTTCGGGGTCTAGTTCTTCTTCTTCCTCTACTGGAGAATCTACATCCTCACCTATAAACAATATCGTGCATTATTGATCCTTATTGCTTATAATTACAATACAAAATGGCGCATCATATCACTTACCAGCGTCCCTACGCGCCTGTCTCTCTTGTCTCTCAGCTTCCTTTGCCTCTCGCTTCAAGCGTCTGGCTTCTCTTCGCTCAAACTTGATCTGGGCAGCTTCCTCGCGCTCCCGTTCCCGCTCTTCTTTCGCCAGCATTCTTGCCTCACGGCGCTCCATTATATCACGCAGTTTAGCAGCGCGCGCCGCCTTCTCGTCGTCATCTAACGTCGATTCATCTACTTCCTCAAGTTCCTCTTCCTCTTCTTCTTCCTAAAGGATTCTTACATTAATAATTATCATCAAACACAGGGCTACTTTGTTAGTGTAATAATACATACCTCTTCTTCGTCCATTATGTTGAAAAACAGCTTGTAATTGTGCACCAAAATATCCAGGAACTCTTCATGACTTTCGAGAATCTTGTTTCGTCTGAAAAGTGAATTAAACATGAAAATTATTTACAAACACAGTTTACATTCAATGATCTCCAGCTTCTTCTTCTCGTGTCGACAACAAACCTAAACAGTGTCAGACCAAAACTACACCACATGCGACCATCAATAGCACTGAATTCAGTCATCAACGGGTCATCTCATTCATAAATTTAATTCACAATGTTTGTAAAATATTACAATGTTACCTGCGCACGAATCTAGGATGTCTTTCAACAACAGCAAGTAACTCCATCTTGTCAAGATTTTCCTTGCGGTTATGCAGAGGCTTGTCGCCCCAGGCTGCAATGTTCGCCAGGCCACGTTTGACGTTGTTCTGCGCCGTGAGCACACGCTCTTGCAAAGTGTTGATGGCCGCGTACACTTCTGCCATCCAGTCGGTGACTAAAAGTTTCGAGAAAAGTGATAATTCAGCCCGAAGCTTGTGAGAATGCGCAAAGCTTCAATAATACCCTATTGCAGCGGTCAGCAACATGCGGCCCGTGAATGTTTTGTAAATGTTATGAATATCAAACTGCAATACTGCATGCATTAATTAATAAGTAAGCGCGCCTCTAGGGTTAATATCACAAGTGCGACCCGCCTTTAGTTTATTTTGCCGCCTTATGGCCCTTGCTTGCCTGCCAAAAGGGTGCCGACCGCTACCCTATTGTACTCTATAAAATAATACTGAAATCAGACATGAGGTCATACTCATAATACGTAACTACAATTGTCTTAGAGAATTCTATCAAGAGTACTTAAATACATACAGCTATATAAAAGATACCTACGGGGATAATCCGGATAATAATAATATTCTACTTACAATCATCATTCCACGTTAGTTCTTCTACACCTCGCCCGAGGAGAGTGTCAATAGCAGAGATCTCCTTTTCAATGAGAGCCACCTCCGTTTCATGACTGCCTTCACGGATTGCGTTGTACCACGCGATGGCGCGATTCAGGCGATTCATGTCATACTGCAAGTTAATTTTATCAATATTACTATCAAAAGTAATAAAGAAATAATACTATTCTAGAACGAAATGTATATAAATTAACCTGTAATTTTTCATTGCGAGCATACAGCTCCAGACCATCTGGTGGAATACCTTGCTTATCCAAGTACTTCATGTACCGGATCTCACGTAACAACATCACCAACTGTGAGAAAATCAAGACCATTCTAATTTATTGTACTTTAGAGGTGTCTCGCTTGTATAATCTGGAAAATGGCTGCTTTTTACCTCAGGACTAAAATTATTCCTAACAAACGGCGGATCTCGATAAATAAGGTTCTTGGCGAGATGAAGCTTGCATATCCCCGGGACAGTCGCGCACCATGCCTTGAACTGGCGGTCTTCCAATTGATTCAAGTATAGCAGCATCTCGTTGTGCTTTTGTTTCATGTACACAGCATACTCTGTCTCTATTATACTGTAACATTAAGTAATTTATAGAGAGTTTAATACGTAAATCTGATCAATACTGTAGCCTCAAGCTACTGGTATTAAATGCATTTTCGCAATAAAAAAACAATCTGCTTTGATGTAGACTGTACTTACGGATCTTCAAACAGAATGAACTCTTCCATTGGACTCTGAAGTCGTCTACGAAGTTTATAGACCCACCATAAAACGCCACCAATGGGCGGTAGATATGGATCCACCATTGGCCTCTCTGGACCTTTTGTTAGTTTCTACAAAACACATTCAATAATAGAATCTATGACATAGTAAATTTAATTTCTATAACCAAAATACGTACCGCTATCTCCTCGTCAAATATTTCCTTGACACAGTCCAAGTTTGAATGCATGAAATCTAGCAGTTTCACTAGCTTTGGTTTCAACTCGTTCTTGATAACTGGTCGGTGGAATAGGTCGCCTATTATTTGGAAGAACTGAAATATCACATTAAAAGGTATTTTATGGATGATGATTGTATTGTTGAAACAAATTCAAAGATTCAAAACAATGATTCTTACCTTGAAGAAATGTTCCAAATTATGACATTCGTCCAGACCCTGAGAGAACAGGGACGCCAGTCTTCTGTCGATATCCTCAAGGACATCCATATGCCGAGCATAGTCTTTCAAGAAGCTATTATCTTCGGGGTCAGCCGGATCGTACGTTATATTACCAAGTTGTTGATATTTCACAGTGTAGTCATCCAAAACCTAAACATATTGAGTAAATGTAAGAAAACTTGAGAAAATGTTGGTACGGACGACAGCACATCAACCTTGTACTATGGCATCGTAGTTGTGATAGGTGCTATTTTGCAACAAAAATTTATGATGTGCTGATAACTGGACATGGTTTTGATATACTTACTTTCATACATTCTGTGCTCAAAGTTTTCCCTCTCAGACCGCAGAACTCAACCTTTTCTAGTTTTAATATCTCAACAGTAGCTTCTAGAATGCTCTCGATCATCGAAAGACGCTTCGTGTACACGTTATACCTCATGAAAACGCGATCGAAGTCAAAAGACCAGCGTACTGGCATCACACCGGGAGGAAAAAACGTGTGCACTTTATCACGGTTCAATTCATACGTATCACTGTAAAGAGGATTTTATTTAAATAAATTGCAACTTAAAACGTAAGTCATATTGTGTACCTACTTCGGTATAAACCATAAAGTTAATATTCATAAACTCACATGAAGTGTTTCAATATGCCCATTGCTTTTCTCAATTTCATCAAATTTTCGTCAGCATCTCCTTGGAAAATTGACGAGGGGTCGATAGAGTTGGTGCATTGTTGGATTACCAAATTGCATACCTCTCGTAGTAACGCTAGAATGGTGTCATAAAACATGTATTTAAAGCAAAAAATATATTCATAGAAAATGTAATTATTTTGTATCGTGTGTGCTATAATTTTTATTATGAACTCACGTATAAGTTTCTCCACGCTGCAATAATATCTCGAATTTCCCCACAGAAGACCAATGCAATGAAACATGGGTCTGATAAGGTACTTGGCGTCAGAAAAGTCTGTCCCCTCAAAGGTTTCAAAGTGTAGTTGCAACGGTTTTTGATAGATGTAGATGTCTCTGCATTCCACAATAGCTGAAATTAAAGTTCAATTTTACCATCATCATCATATTCACCCTCTAGACGAAGATTCTACTGTTAGATACTAGACTCGATCCATAAAATTCCTCAGCAAGCGACGCCATAGAGTTAATTTATAAAGGACCAGCACTGTACTATGTCATCAACTTTACACCGAGTAGGTACTTATATCCGAAGAAATGAAACGGTTGACAATATCGAAAAACGATCAAGCTGAGCAAAACACTTACAACACGTCTCTCTCTTCTGTACTACCCCTTAGCAGGCACGAAGTTAGTGAGCATAATCTTGAAGCAAGCAAGGAAAAGTACGGCCAACTAGCAGCGATACAAAAGGTCGATTCGACTGTCAAATTGACAATTTATTCTGTCTCTTCTCATCTTGTGTAGTTGTCGTAATGTCTCGTTCTCCCGCCAAAATATGTCAAATTTAGACGGGTTCGTCAACATTCGGACATCTATTTTAGTATAAATAGTTGTTGCAATTCACGAGGTCGAATCTGTTACTTGTCGATTCTTATTTTATTATTCCGATTAAATATTTAAGTCTCTATGAAAAGGGGTAGGCCTGTTGCCATACACCGGGCACATTGTGAGGCAGAAATGTTATTATTATTCTTGTTATTTAATTTAAATCTACATTATACAATAATTCAAATTATACTTGACTTACTTGACTTATGGTCCTATGTCCCCTAGATGGGGCAGAGGGCGTCCACAACAGTCCTCCATCTCGTTCGGTCTTGAGCTTCTCGCTTGATCTCGCTCCAGGTCTTGCCGATCTTCTTCGCCTCGTCCGCTACAGTGCGCCGCCAAGTTTGCCTGGGTCGACCACGTTTGCGTTTTCCTTGGGGATTCCAATCCAGAGCCTGCTTAGGGATGTGATCGGGGTCCCTTCGGAGAGTGCGGCCAATCCAGTTCCACTTGCGGCGCTTGATCTGCTGGTCGATCGGGATTTCGTGGCAGCGTTCCAATAGCTCGACGTTGGAGATTTTCTCGGGCCAGTATATGCCGAGAATTCGGCGAAGGCAGCGGTTGATGAAGACCTGCAGCTGGTGCGAGATAACCTTTGTGACCTTCCACGTTTCACACCCATAGAGCAGAACGGATTTAACGTTGGACCCGAATATTTTGATCTTGACCCTTCGGGTCAATTTCCGTGACTGCCATATGGGGCGAAGTTGTGCGAAGGTAGCTCTGGCCTTGGCAATGCGCGAAGTGATGTCCTCTTCGGTACCTCCAGTTTCTGACACGACGCTCCCGAGGTAGGTGAAATTGTGGACTCGTGCCACATCCTCTGCACCAATCCGTAATGGCGTGCAATTTCTCACTCCAGATCGCATCTCTTGGGTCTTCCGGCAGTTAATTTTGAGCCCTGTGATACCCGCTTCTCGATGTAGGTCATTAAGTTTGGATTGCATATCGTGATGCGTGTGGCTCAGCAAACAGAGGTCATCGGCATAATCTAAGTCTTCTAAGACTCCGATTATACCCCACTCTATTCCACGCCGTTGGTCTTGATATGCGCGATTCATGACTCCATCCAAGACAACCAGAAAGAGAAGGGGCGAAAGCAGGCAGCCTTGCCGGACGCCCGCATGCACCTCGATGTCTTCGGAGATGAGGCCGTCGTGAGTCACCGTACAAGAATATTTCCTGTAGATGGCCTTCAGTAGGTCGATGATTTTCGGCGGGACACCAATGTCAGCGAGTCGCGACCATATACTTGCCCACTTCAGCGTATCAAAGGCTTTTTCAAAGTCTACAAAGGTTAGGTAGACTTCCCTTTGCCATTCTGATGCCTGCTCCAAAATGATACGCAAAGTATTGATCTGGTCGGTACACGAGCGGTTCGGGCGGAAGCCAGCCTGTTCCCTACGCAAAAGAGGTTCAACGGCCCCCGATAACCTATCCAAGATAATCTTGCAGAAAACCTTTGACGGTATCGAGAGCAAAGTGATACCTCTCCAATTGCTACACTGGCTTAGATCCCCTTTCTTTGGCACAGTAATTAAAAGCCCCTTATTCCAGTCGTCTGGGAGTTCCTCTTCCATCCAGATGTTTTCGATGAGAGGTGTCAGAACGTCGGCGGCGGAGTTTACGTCGACTCTCAGCATTTCTGCGGTGATAAGGTCGAGTCCTGGGGCCTTGCCAATCTTGAGGGATAGGATAGCTTTGGCCACTTCGTCGTGTGATGGTGGTTCCACATTGATGTCGAGCAGCCTAGGTGGAGTAGAGGTGTGCTGCGGAGGCTCAGGCGTGGTGGTGGCTGTAGTCAAGGTAGGGCGGAAGACCTCCTGAAAGTGTTCACGCCATCGCTGCAGTTGCCCTTCAGACGACACAATAAGCTCTCCATCACTTGACTTAAGAGGCTTCTTCTTTGGTCTGCTACTTCCTGCCAAGGTTTTCGTCGCTTTGTACAGCTCTCTCAGATTGCCAGTGTTAGCAGCGAGTTGGGCCTTGTCAGCAACCCCGTCAGCCCACAGCCTTTTGTCTTTCCGCGTGCTGCGGTAGATTTTCCTGCGCATCTGACGGTACTGCTGTCTGAGGGTGGCTATAAGTTGCACGTCGGTGGTTTGTAGCAACTTTAGGTGGAGCTCTCTACGGTCGCTGATCAGCTGCCATGTGTATTGTGACATCCAGTCCTCGCGCGTGTGCGTGTTGTGACCCAAGACGGAAAAGCTGGTCTCTGTGTAGGCCACTTTGATATGGTTCCACTTTTCGTCTATTGAGCATTTCTCGTCATCAAGGGCGGAGAAACGGTTTGTTTACATTTGGTATCGCTTCTCGTTGGCCGTAGGTGCTTTAGACGCTGTATCCCAAGTATATCAAGTATACTATAGTGCGTCATATTATGTGCTTGACGGGCGGATCACACAGCTGCGAGTATAGTTATACCTAGAATGCCTACATGATAATATCCTTCTCCTGTAAAAGTTGAAACTAATCAATCCCTTACCAGCCACGACATTAGTCAACATGGTCTTGAAGCAAGCAAGGTAGACGCTGCGAGTATCTTCCAAATAATGCGCCATACGTTTGACGCGCGGGTCGCGCAGCTGTGAGTATATGCCTTCTAAATTGCGCAGACGGTGCACGTAGAAGTCTATGTCCATGATCGGCAAAGGAAACTTGGTTTTCTTGAATGCTGAAAACAGAGAACATTTTGTTAATTTGCATTCAAAATGTGTGTGGTGAAAAATCATCATCGTCATCATTTCAGCTACAGGACGTGCACTGCTGAACATAGGCCTCCCCCAATGATTTCTACAATGCCCGGTTGGTAGCGGCCCGCATCTAGCGCCTTCGTACTACCTTTATGAGGTCGTCGGTCGGAAAAATTAAGTTGACTAAAATAAGGTAAATTTTCTGGAAATAGGCTTTGGAGCGCTTCACAAGATAAAATATCAAAAATATATTTTTACCGATATAAGAATCCTCTTGAAGTAAGTCGTGTACTTGTTGGGCCCATTTAATAATAGCGCCTTCAATATTCGTCTTCAAATACAAGTCAACGTCTTCTCCATCACTAGAAGTATTTTTTGAGATATTAAAATTACACACTGCACTAATACATGCTCACTTTAGGCACCTAAACTAAGTTAAACATGTAAGTACCTTTCTCTCAATCGAGATTCAGCATGGTAAATGTTTTCTACTCCTGCAGGCATCGGCAACATAACTTGGCTAGACATTTCACCTTTGAGCTAGAAACAAAAAATAAAGAGTAAAGAGTAGGTATTTTACTTACTTTCAAGGAAAATAGGATACGGTTACCAACAAAATTGGTAAAGCAGAGTAGAACCACACACTTCTTCCAGTAGTGGCGATATGGATAGTGGCAGAGGCGACTAAGGCACAAATACGTGAACATGAAGCCTCCCCAACCCGTCTTGCTAGCGTGAGGAGTTTAGGCCAAAACCTCAATTTGCCTTGGTACAATAAAGAAGGTTGTGCTCCTACAAGTAAGGTCCGATTTCTACCAAAGCGAAGCGGAGTGGAGAAGAGTTTTGAAGATAACCAATCGGATTCCATTATTTCCACATCTCCTTTCCGCTGCCAAATTCTATGGAAAAGATCCGCCAGATTCATTTCTTCTCTTCTCCGCTCCGCTGTGCCATGATGGAAACCGGGCCTAAAGAGGAAAATATGATCTCAGGGTGAAGTTTTAAGGTCTATTTCTAAATGAAGTTGGACCTGGTGCATCAAGTTCCTGAGCTCGTTGATGTGGCGCTGCATGTCGTTGCGGACGATCTTGGGCCAGCCGCGCTGGTTCTCCGGGTTGCACAGCAGCGGGCCTATCACCTCGTCGGCCATCAGGCTGATGTCCATCAGCACGTTGCCGGATAACTCGCCGATCGTGGTGATCTGATACAGAACTGTTACGTTAGAAGAGTGGATACGCAATAAAGATTAAAACTGTTGCAAGATCGCTCTGTCTCTATTACAAAAATTAATGTTGCTAAGCGCAAAACTCGAGAACGTTGGGACCTATTGGGTTTTTTTTTTCATAAATATTCCTTAAAGCCCACGGAAATGTCCAAGTTAATCCTGGACAAAGGCCTACAATACATTTTATTATATATTACTACGCGTAGTTGCGCAGCGTTTCATTCACGGTGACTACGCACGTAGCTACGGCAGCTACGGTCTGAGCTGCCGTAGCTACATGTCGCACGCTACGTCGTAGCGTACCTACATTTTGTACTACATGACCAATCGCGTAGTATGCTACAACGTAGCATAACACGTAGCGTAGTAGCACAGCTCGTAGCGCGCGCGGCAACATCGTAGCGTGCGTGACACGTAGCCAACGTAGCGTTGTAGCTCTGAGCTGCCGATGCCGTAGCGTAGTTACGTGTCGCACGCTACGTCGTAGCGTACTACTACTACAGTTTGTGCTACATGACCAATCGTTGCATGCTACGACGTAGCGTGACACGTAGCGTAGTAGCACAGCTCATAACACGCGCAGCGACATCGTAGCGTGCGTGACACGTAGCCAAAGTAGCGCTGTAGCATAGCTCGTAGTAACCTAGTATTTTTGGACGGATAATAGGAGCTATATTTATTTTCAAAACTACAATATGAAAAGTCGACATTACACACCAAAGTTCCTTTCTGTGAGTGAAGTTCGTATGTCAGTCACTATTTATTTACGCTACTTACCGTACGAAAATTAGCTTGAGTGATCTTCTCATCAGAATTCCGGAGGAAATAGATCATTTTCCCCCTGCTGATGGGGGGGAAACTGGTAGCGCATGTCAGCAGGCCTGCCGTGTTCATGCGGAACACTATAATGTCGTACTTCGGTAGGTCGAAGTATCGGAATAGAACGTGCTGTGGGAGTAATAGACTTTCATGAACCAGATGTTTCTTTGGAGGGAAATAAGTAGTAATTGCCGATAGTAAATAATATTTATGATTACCCAGCGACCCATAGAGATGCTGACGAAAACTAATAATAGAACATACCTAGATAGGACAAAAATCAAACAAACAAACTAAAGAAAATGGCAGCGGACCAGCTACATTAAATTTTAAAACCGTTAAGTTTCTTTAGTCCTAAACAACGTAATTAAGAAACTGAAGAACCAAAAATGGTCAAATATTTGGGACTTACTCTTTCGTCTCCTGTAATAAACTTTGTCCATTTCTCAACTTTTTGCTTTAGTGCTTTGAGAATATATTCGCTCATGAACTCCAAACGAGTATCAACATCTTCTTTCTAAATAAATAAGTTAATGTTGTAAAAAAAATTAGCAGCAACATTAAATTTACCTTAGTAATGAAGTGAACGAGGAAAATTTATGTTCTTTATCATTAATACTTACATCACCCATGATTTATTCTTAATCCAATCAGTAAGAATAACAATGGTAGATATCAATTTATGATGATTGATCAATATTTGATATTATTATAACCATTTTATTCCAGATAAAATTCACTTTGACTTGAACTGAAACGAAAATTATAATATTTTGTTTATATTTTTATTTACAGTGTAACTATGGATACCGCCAAAGTTTGTTCAATTTTGAATTTAGAACCCATAACTTTTTTTTTTATTTATACGACTGTTTAGACGATGATCAGTATTAACATACAGCTTTTGTTTGCAATTACACCTTCCTTCAATGATGAAATAGTCCGTACGATCTTATGACGCCTTGACCTATACACATAGCTGCCTTAAAAAAAATTAATAGGGTTGCCTGTAAAGTAAGATTTCCTCACAATAAAGAAAAAAGGACAATAATTGAATTATTAAAGACTACGTTAATTAATTATGTTTTGAACAAAATGAAATCATAAACTCAACTCATAATGTTTAGCTCCTTAATAAATTAAATGATGAGTGCTTTATTTTTTTTAAATGATGATACATTAATATCATCTGAGCTCAAAATGAAGTATGTCACCGTAAAATAAACACCATTGCAAAAAGTACATCTCTCTTTATTGTTATCATTTGTTTTTAAGGTTTCTTTTTATGTCTAAAGGGATTTTCAATGACGTATTTGGTTCAATTTTATGCGTTTGGGTGGTAGTTTTTTTCTTATTGTGGCAACACCAATTGTCAATGTCAAAATGAAAAAAAAAGTCTGTCAATGTCAAAATTTCGCGCTAAAATCGTAACGCGAGCTTGTTTGCAATCAAATATTTCTTTTCTTTTCTGTTAATTGTTTTTAATCAGTAATTACTTGCTAATAGTTAAACTATGGAAGGTTTTGATGATCCCGGTGTTTTCTTCTCTGATAACTTTGGTGTTGAAGAAAACGAGTCTCAGGATCAAGTTAACCTCCAAGCAGTGAAGAAGAAGTTCAAAGAATTCATTCGTCAGTTTCACTCAGGAAATTTTAACTACAAATACAGGTAACTGGTTCATTTGTGACATAATAATACAATAATAATTGGGAAACTTTCATTAAGATGTAAATGTTCAATAATCTGCTTGAACTTTTACAGAGATGCACTCAAGCGCAATTATAATTTAGGACATTATTGGGTGGAGATAAATATTGAAGACTTATCTAGTTTTGATGAAGTTTTAGCCGAGAAGCTTTACAAGAAACCCACAGAACACTTGCCTATTTTGGAAGAGGCTGCTAAAGAGGTGAGCATTTCCAAGTAGATTCTTGTACTAAGCCATTCCAGTGTTTTTAAGGAACCTTTATAGAGGCTAGAAATTAAATAATTTAACAATACTTAGAAATCATAACTTAACTATTTCATTTGCAGTTGGCTGATGAATTGACAGCTCCTAGGCCAGAAGGTGAAGAAAAAGTTGAAGATGTACAAGTATTATTGTCGTCAGACTCACATGCTGCTAACTTACGAGAACTTAAAGTAAGCAAACTATCATTTACTCTAATCTTTAAATTATGATTTGAAATAACCAGTGTTACATATTATCACGTTTATTTTTAGTCGGAAACAGTGTCTCGTCTCATCAAAATACCTGGCATAGTTATATCTGCCTCAGGAATCAAAGCCAAAGCAACCAAGATATCGATACAGTGTAGATCATGCCGCAATATCATCCCCAATCTGCCTGTAAGGCCGGGCCTTGAGGGCTATGTGATGCCAAGGAAATGTAACACGTAAGTTTAAATAAAGTTTATTCCTATAAAGAATTTACTAATTCAATACTTATTTATTATAGGTTCTTAATTAATTGTACTGACTTATTAATTTGAAATTAATTGCATCTGATATTCATTGCAGGGAACAAGCTGGCAGACCCAAATGCCCCTTAGATCCTTACTTCATCATTCCAGACAAATGTAAATGCATAGATTATCAGGTAAGCAATTTTATTGAACAAATATTGTAACTTTTAAAAAAAATCTGGATTTAAAATATATAATTTTTTGGATTTTTTATTTTTATGTTTTTAAGAATAGTTTTCCTGTCCTATTTCATGATTACATGACAGGAAATAGGCAGTTGTTTGGTGATGGTTCTTTCATACTTACAGGTGATGTATGAACTTGATGATAATAATATTTTTTCCACCATTTTCCTTTGCTTTACCAAACGTCAAAAATCTGTCAAACTGCATACAAAATGCACTGGTTATTAAGGTTAAAGTTTGGTGGTGCAAATTCAGTCTTAAAGATACACCAATCTTTTATTGTAACTTGACGCCCACAGGTGTTAAAGCTGCAAGAGGCGCCGGAAAGCATCCCGCAAGGCGAGATGCCGCGCCACCTATCGGTGTACTGTGAACGAGTGCTGTGCGAGCGCGCCGCGCCCGGCTCGCGCGTTACTGTGCTCGGCATCTACTCTATCAAGAAGATCGCTAAAGTTGGGGTGAGGATTACTACTTATTTCCATTTCTCACATCTTTCATTAGAATAGAATAGAATAGAATTTCTTTATTGCGGTAAATGTGGTACAAAGTAGTGATAAACAATGAATGTTCGTTTCACACATCTAACCAACGACAATTGGCATGCAACATACAGTGAAACAGAAAGCACACAATTATGTCCAAATAAATAAGTCTCTAAGACTATAAAAATTCAACTAAAATAATTAATTAATTAACAATGATGATATTATACATTCAATAATAATAAACAAAATACATTTCGATTAAAAAAAAAAAAATTAATGATTTTCCATGTGGCTATACATTTATTTTTCGATTTATTAATATATTCACTATTTTTAGATTTTCGAGCGGTATTTATACATTTTTGTAATAATTTTGAGTACATTCTATATTTTGTTCTTACTATGTCTGACTTTTTTTTGTAAAAAGTTACTCGCAGTTTTCTTTTTGTGGCACATGAGATTCTTAATCCTTTTGTTAACCAGTTAAGCTTACAATTACTACTGTTTCTCACTTTCACTCTGTATTTGGGAAAACACAGATTATAGAGGAGACATAGTTCAGTGTGAAAGTAATTAAAAGCCTCATCAACGTTGGTGAATCTCCATAAATCCGACCACGAGTAACTTAGTATACATTCTTTAAATTTTTCTATATTTTCTTTACTGTAGTCTCTTACCATTAATTATTTCATTTCAGACCAATGTGTATGCGCGTAAGCTTCTTGCACGGAGTTCTGATTAGCATGCATCATTTTAACGTTCATTTTATGCTCAGCATCATCTACATCAAGAAGATCGCTAAAATTGGGATAAAGTTCAAAAGTTGTTTTAATTCCTTCCTTACATCATCATTCAACTGGTTTGCATATAGATGTAAGCCTCCAAGAAGAAGCGCCAAAGAACACGATCTCCCGCCTTTTTATCTATCTGTCAGCACTTGACTGCCAGCATTGTCAGCTGCCTCTATGATTTTCGTTGTTTTCACACCTTAAATTTCTATACTTACAGAGAGAGAATCGCGACAAGGGTTCCGTCGGCGTACGCTCATCCTACCTCCGCGCTGTAGGTCTAACAGCTGAAGAAGGAGTAACAGGCGGGCTGCGGCCCTTCACGGCCGACGAGGAAGAGCAGTTCCGACGCCTGGCGGCCGCGCCCGACGTCTACGAGCGGATCGCCAAGTCCATCGCGCCCAGTGTGTTCGGGGCTGTTGATATGAAGAAGGCTATAGCCACGCTCCTGTTTGGAGGTGTGTATTCTTAGCGACTTCCCAACGTCGTGTCGCTTAAATAACGCGATGCCAGCGCTGCGTAGATCCGGCCTTCGGCAGCCGCTCAACATTAGTGTCACGGGAACGCAAAGCCAGCGCAGCGTCGACGCTGCGCGGGCACTGGCGAGTCAACGACCCTTGACAGACGCTAGTGTGGAAGTCCTTTGGCTAGAGGACCATGACGAAGGCTCCGTCAGCGTGCGCTCGACCTACCTCCGCGCCGTGGGCTTAACAAAGGAGGTTGTGTACCTATGACACATGGTATTGGTCGCTTTATGTCGCGTTCCGTCGCTCACCTAGGACACTGGATCCTCCTACCTCCGCGCCGTGGGCCTAACAGCTGAAGAAGGAGTAACAGGCGGGCTGCGGCCCTTCACGGCCGACGAGGAGGAGCAGTTCCGGCGCCTGGCGGCCGCGCCCGACGTCTACGAGCGGATCGCCAAGTCCATCGCGCCCAGTGTGTTCGGGGCTGTTGATATGAAGAAGGCTATAGCCACGCTCCTGTTTGGAGGTGTGTATTCTTAGCGACTTTCCAACGTCGTTGTCGTCGCGTCGAAGTTGCGCTCGCGCAGCTTCGACGCGGCGCTTAAATAACGCGATGCCAGCGCTGCGTAGATCCATCCTTCGGCAGCCGCTCAATATTAGTATCACGGGAACGCAAAGCCAGCGGAGCGTCGACACTGCGCGGGCGCTGGCGAGTCAACGACCCTTGACAGACGCTAGTGTGGAAGTCCCTTGGCGAGAGGTCCATGACGAAGGCTCCGTCAGCGTGCGCTCGTCCTACCTCCGCGGTACCTATGACACACGTTACGTAAAGTATTGGTCGCGTTCCGTCGCTCGCCTATGCTGGGGTGTCATTCCTTCGGCCCGTGTGTCTAACAGCGGAGGATGGAGTAACAGGCGGGCTGCGGCCCTTCACGGCCGACGAGGAGGAGCAGTTCCGACGCCTGGCGGCCGCGCCCGACGTCTACGAGCGGATCGCCAAGTCCATCGCGCCCAGTGTGTTCGGGGCTGTTGATATGAAGAAGGCTATAGCCACGCTGCTGTTTGGAGGTGTGTATTCTTAGGGACTCCCACTCTAGCGACTTTCCGACGTCGTTGTCGTCGCGTCGAAGTTGCGCTTCGACGCGGCGCTTAAATAACGCGATGCCAGCGCTGCGTAGATCCGGCCTTCGGTACCGCTCAACATTAGTGTCACGGAAACGCAAAGCCAGCGCAGCGGCGAGTCAACGACCCTTGACAGACGCTAGTGTGGAAGTCCCTTGGCGAGAGGACCATGACGAAGGCTCCGTCAGCGTGCGCTCGTCCTACCACCGCGCCGTGGGCTTAACAAAGGAGGTTGTGTACTTATGACACATGGTATTGGTCGCTTTATGTCGCGTTCCGTCGCTCACCTAGAACACTGGATCCTCCTACCTCCGCGCCGTAGGTCTAACAGCGGAGGAGGGAGTAACAGGCGGGCTGCGGCCCTTCACGGCCGACGAGGAGGAGCAGTTCCGGCGCCTGGCGGCCGCGCCCGACGTCTACGAGCGGATCGCCAAGTCCATCGCGCCCAGTGTGTTCGGGGCCGTCGATATGAAAAAGGCCATAGCCACGCTGCTGTTTGGAGGTGTGTATTCTTAGCGACTTCCCAACGTCGTGTCGCTTAAATAACGCGATGCCAGCGCTGCGTAGATCCGGCCTTCGGTAGCCGCTCAAAATTAGTGTCACGGGAACGCAAAGCCACCGCAGCGTCGACGCTGCGCGGGCACTGGCGAGTCAACGACCCTTGACAGACGCTAGTGTGGAAGTCCCTTGGCGAGAGGACCATAACGAAGGCTCGATCAGCGTGCGCTCGTCCTACCTCCGCGCCGTGGGCTTAAAAGAGGAGGGCGTGTAGTTGTGTACCTATGACACACGTTACGTAAAGTATTGGTCGCTTTATGTCGCGTTCCGTCGCTCGCCTATGACACTGGGGTATCATTCCTTCGGCCCGTGTGTCTAACAGCAGAGGAGGAGGAGTTCCAGCGCCTGGCGGCCGCGCCCGACGTCCACGACCGGATCGCCAAGTCCATCGCGCCCAGTGTGTTCGGGGCTGTTGATATGAAGAAGGCTATAGCCACGCTCCTGTTTGGAGGTGTGTAGATGACGTTATTTTTCTTAAGGACTCCCCACTCTAGCATCTTTCGAACGTCGTCGTTTCGCCAGCGCCTGCGGTGCTAAATAACGCGATGCCAACGCTGCGTAGATCCTGTGTTCGGAGCTGTTGATAGGAAGAAGGCCATAGCCACGCTCCTGTTTGGAGGTGTGTAGATGACGTTCTTTTTCTTAAAGACTCCCCACACTAGCATCTTGCGAACGTCGTCGTTTCGCCAGCGCCTGCGGTGCTAAATAACGCGATGCCAGCGCTGCGTAGATCCTGTGTTCGGAGCTGTTGATATGAAGAAGGCTTATAGCCACGCTCCTGTTTGGAGGTGGGTAGATGACGTTCTTATTCTTAGGGACTCCCCACACTAGCATCTTTCGAGCGACGTTATCTTACCGGCGCTCACGCAGCACCAACGTCACCACGACGCCAATGCTGAGCGACTGCTGAACGCCGGATTTACGGAGTACTGGCCGAGCCGAAATTACTCATGATTATGATCATAATGATATTTAGTCTCCACTGCAGGGGAACGTCCATCTCTAATAATTGGACATTTAATAATTTCCATAAAAGTATGTTTGTCGGCAATAATCAAATGCTCACCATGACCAGAAGAGCTCCCTTATTCGCCTCTTAAGAGAACCGTTTGTACAAACAATTAAACTATACATATTTTTTGCATCTTGACTTCCATTTGCGATTACCTATAAATGGCTAAGCAGATACATAATTTTAAGTTTCATTATTTGTATTTGTATTGCTGTTGGTGTTCCTAATAAAATAAAATAAAAAAATATTTTCATCAGGATCTCGCAAGCGCCTGCCCGACGGCCTCACCCGGCGCGGGGACATCAACATCCTACTCCTGGGCGACCCCGGTACCGCCAAGTCGCAGCTGCTGAAGTTTGTGGAGAAGGTGGCTCCCATCGGAGTATACACGTCTGGCAAGGGCTCCAGCGCGGCCGGTCTCACTGCATCGGTTATTCGTGACCCGGGAAGCGTAAGTTTGAGAAGTTTTCATTCTATGTTAGTAGTAGCATACTCGTAATATTTGGCTAACGAAAACGGCCTACTATGCTGTCTTTAGTAGAAAGATTCTGTGACAAATTCTGACACTCAGCTCTCCGTTATATTACTACGTTTTATACATAAGATCTATTTTAGTTAGGTGGCATGGTTTACGGACTTAGCTTGTTGCACACCAAATAAGAAAAATAACTAAGAAAGCTACATTTGGCGTATTTCCTAGCCTCACAGGTAATGGAACTCCCTATTATTGTGGCATGGTTTACGGACTTAGCTTGTTGCACACCAAATAAGAAAAACAACTAAGAAAGCTACATTTGGCGTATTTCCTAGCCTCACAGGTAATGGAACTCCCTATTATTAGGGCAAATGCGCTAGCCTTGAAAGTCAATAGCCTGCAAAACTTCCCTGGTTAAATCATTATTATGTTACCAACCATTTTGTACCTTATCATAAGCAAATAAAGTCTATTACTATTTACCCCCAGCGCAACTTCGTGATGGAAGGCGGGGCGATGGTGCTGGCCGACGGCGGCGTGGTGTGCATCGACGAGTTCGACAAGATGCGCGAGGACGACCGCGTCGCCATACACGAGGCCATGGAGCAGCAGACCATCTCCATCGCCAAGGTAAACAGTTCCCTATGCACTTGTGATAAGGGCGTTTGTGCATCGACGAGTTCGACAAGATGCGCGAGGACGACCGCGTCGCCATACACGAGGCCATGGAGCAGCAGACCATCTCCATCGCCAAGGTACGCCGGTTATCATCATGTCATGTAGTCTCCATTGTAGGATAACAACACTAATAAATAATAAAAAAAATATTTATTTTCTTCACAATGGGCTTACAATTTGTTGTTGTTGAGACAATATTTGACAAGATATTAGGTACACACGACAGCACATAGGAAAGATACGATAGTTTGTCTGTGATGCATTATTTGCTATGTGCTAATCGGTGCTTTGGCCTGGCATATCATATACCCGTATTGTGAAGACTGGTGCCTGAAGTAGGTTCTGAAAGAGCCTTGTATGANTCTGTAATAGTATTGAATTGTGTCTATTCGCGCGTTGATTGGTACAGTTAGTATTTGAGCAGTCTCATGATCCGATAGGGAAACCGGCACTGTGGCGCCTTGCGCAGCCTTAATATTACTTACAAAATGATCTAAACAGGATTGTCGTCGAGTGGGACAGTTAATATGAAACTCCAATCCATAACTTTCTAGTAACTCCTTAAGATTCCGAGATAATTTAGTATCCTTGAGTGTATCAATATTCCAATCCCCAGTAAGAACTATATATTTTTTTGTTTTTTTTCCTAATTTATTGAGTAAAATAGAGAGTTTGTCAAAGAAAATATGAGTATCGGCTCCCGGGATCCTATAGATACATACTAAGACTATGTTATAATTAGTAATCTCTACACCACAGCATTCGAAAACCAATTCACAAGACAAATCTCTCAGGAACGGTAATTGCTTGACCTCAATATTATTCCTATGTAGTATACACACGCCTCCACGCTTTTTACCGAGTCTACAGAAGGAGGAACCTAAGTTATAATTTCGTAATTGTACATTTAGTTCGTTATTTTTCTGAATAAAAGTTTCTGTGAGGCAAACTAAATCGATTGGTCTATTATATTTAATGGATAGTTCATAAAGTGTTATTTCCAGTAGATCTCTTTTGCTTAAAAAACCTGCAATATTTTGATGCAAAAACATCAATTGATTACTAACATTACCATTCATAAAAAAATATGTTTTTGTGGTTTTACAATTGATTTGTTTTGGTTTTGCATTCCAAAAGCCTCGTCCTGTATAGTTATTGAATTGACACTTTTACATTGATTGATGTATTCGCTTGTACAACTTACATTTTGCGTAGTATTTTGATAACTAGTCTGCGAGTGAGTCCATTGTAAAATCTCCCTATATACAGAAAAACATAAATTTGAGAGATAAAACTTTGATCCCAAACGAGATTTTTTATAGTTCATTCCTAAAAAAGTAGCATATCTAAACCCTTGACATATCATTTTCAAATCATAATTTACATTATAGTTAAACATTTTTGCATTACTTGGTAATCCACATATAATTAAGTTAGTATTTACAATGCCTCTAATCCATTTAAGTAAGTTAGTTTTTAATTCAAATGGATTTTTATCATTAAACCCCCCAATTACTACGATGAAATCCTGCTTCGTTAAAGTATTTATCTCGCTTTTACAGGTGTTTAGGACGTCGTATAAGTTTGCTTGACTCTTCCAAAAGCAACACACTTCATACTCCGGTCCAACCATTTTTTTTAAAGCTTGTTGTACACCACGCCCTTGTTGGTCTGCTATTATAAAAATTTTTTTTATAGGTAAATCGCCCTTCTGGTTATTGTTGAAATTCTCTACTATTTCTTTATTCTCCAATTCCGGTCGGTAGACATCTTCCGACCTTATATTTGCTATGCTTGTGCTCAATAGAGAGGAATCTACATTTTCTTTTGGCAAACAGTTGTGTTTAAGGTTTTTTCCTCTTTTTGATTGTGATATATTTTTTGATTTTAACCTCTTAGATTCATTTAGTAATGGAGTATTTGCGCAGATTTCTAACAGATGCTTAATTTTTTTATCTTGTTCATCAATTTTCCTTTGCATTACTAGCTTTTCCAAGGTTAATTCTTCAATTAAATTATTAGCAGATAGCACTTGTGATTTTAAGTTTGTTATTTCTTGTCTAAATTCTTCAATTTCCTTGTTGTGCAAAGTGGATAAGTCTGGCAAACTAATGCGGTTGTAGCTAGAATCAGTTTCCGATAACTCAGGAGAAAAACCTTCAGCATCCGGTAATGATGTATGCTGGATATCCGCAGACCCCCGCCGGTACTGCTTTGCTCGTAGCGTTACAAATTCACAGTTGCTTGTATCTTGCTTCAAGCTCTCGCTTTCGGTTCCGTATTTCTGGATCGTGGATGATTCAATGATATTACCTCTGCAATCAGTCTTTCTCAGCAGCACATCAGTGCCGGCCTCAATTGACACTATTTTGGTACTCTTACTGGCAGATACATTTTGTCTGGATATACTGGATGGTTTGCTATGATTTGCAGGGAGGCTCCTTGGCGTAGAGGAGCATGGAGTTGGTTTTTGAACTTTTGAAGTCTTAATCCTTCCTTCCTCTCTGCATAGTTTGCATTGCCAATTTGCTTTATTTTTCATTAAATCAAAAAGTTTGACTGATACATTTGCACAATCCAGATCGAAGATATCACTACACAGCTTGCATTTTAAGAAATCCTTTCTTGGAATAGTCTTTTTGCACGTTACACAAACGTTTTTCTGATTCTGTGACATTTTTTTGTTGTTGTAATAAACACAAAAATATTCCAATCTTCGGGACTTGATCTTGGTCCCCTGTGATTTGCGTAGCTNGATCGAAGATATCACTCCATATTCGCGCTCCATATCTGCGATGGATGCCGAATTTCGTAAGAACCTAACTTGAGATATCGATTTGCTTTAGTACCACAGTGCATGTGGTTGGTTAAGTTTAAGAACGTTTTTGTCAAAATACCTATATTGTCGGTTTACTTCTTCATGGAACGTTCGTGTCATCGTTATCGACATTTTAGCCAATGACAGTTCAAAGCTTGACTAAAAAACAATCTATAATAGCAAGGTAAGCGATAAAAGTTCAATAAAAAAGATATCCTGTACACCAAACTGAACGATGCACACCTGTCGAGTCAGATTCGTAGAAGAACGATCGCATGCTCCAATTTACGAACGATCGTTTGCCATTGCCAATGCTGACCCACTGGATAGGATTGCAAGCGAGCGCGTCAAATCCAAACTGAGTGAATCGTATTGATGAACTGGGATGCAGTAATTTCAAAGATATGTGGCTGTGTAAATTGCCTTACTAATCCTCGGATAGGTTGAGCACCGATTGATTCGAAGAAATTGGGTATTTGACACCATTCGCCACTAATTTTAAGGCACAACTTTTTAAAAACACAATTTTCTTAAAAAGTCAATTAATTTTAGATCAACGATAATAAATCAAGATTTTTGGGTTGCTTTGTACTCGTAATTAATAAAAATGTTTTTCAATTAAGTTGACAAAATTGTGACGTCGCGATTCGGCTTGTATTGCCCTACAAAATCTAAGGGAGAGTCCCGTTTTGACAGTTCATAAAATGTACGTCCACGAGTAATTTGACAATAGAATATAATTTTACATGTCGAAAAAATTACGCTGTAAATTCCTTCGTAGTGTTATCTTCGGCTGAAAGTATGCCGTTACCAAATTAAATTCTCTTAATGATAAAATATTTGTCAGTAAGATCTGTCTACAAATTAATATCCACGTTTCCATGAGTTCCAAGAATACGAGTATAAGGTACGTGTACCTATTTCAGTAATATTTTTCCTACTATTAGAAAGTTAATCATGAGTTACCGAGTTGCGCTTGACTAGTTTCATAGCGACAATGTAAATACAAAAAGAACATTCGTAGACAGTGTTAATACACATTAGCGTTTTGATATTTTTTAATATCTTTTTATATTTCATGCAAAGTATCACAAGTGTGACTGCCGTTAAATAAAATGACGCTTCAAATTCTGGGGGCATAGTGCGAGTTTATGACAAACGCATTCGATGTCGACTGCGTTTAAAAAATATATGAAGATCTTACTTCTTGAAAGTTTCCGCTAGGGGCGCTGTACAATCCGTCAAACATTTGATGTCACGTTTTTACGCAGTCGACATCGAAAAAAAATCAATAAAAAAACCGGCCAAGTGCGTGTCGGACTCACGCACAAAGGGTACCATTGATTTATGATTTTTTTTTTAATTTAAGTTATTTGTAAGAAAGATTACGCGGTAATAAGCGGTTTACGATTTACGAGGTATTAAAAAAAACTACTTACTACATCTCGTTCAAAACAATTTTCGTTGGTAGTTTTTATAGTTACATCATATTATGTGTTTTTTAGATTTTTCATTTTCTTATTTTAGAAGTTAGAGGGGGGGGGGGGCTACTTTTTTCCACTTTGGAAGCGTCTGTCACGCAAACTATTCGGTTTAGAAAAAAAGTATTTTAGAAACCTCGATATCATTTTTAAAGACCTATACATAGACGACACCCGCCCCACACGTATGTGTTTGATGAAAAAAAAATTTTTGGGTTTCAGTTCTAAGTATGGGGAGCCCCTAATATTTATTATTATTTTTTTATTTTTGCATCAAAATCTTAATGCGGTTCACAGAATACATCTACTTACCAAGTTTCAACAGTATAGCTCTTATAGTTTCGGAAAAAAATGACTGTGGCATACGGACGGACAGACGGACGGACGGACGGACAGACAGACAGACATGACGGTTCATAAGGGTTCCGTTTTTTGCCATTTGGCTACGGAACCCTAAAATCGGCCTTATGCCACAAGCTAATTGGTTTTGATTTCGTAGTAATAGGGATGACGACTGGGTTATGAAATCGAAATTTTATTTAGTACGTCAGACAGATAATAAAACAAATTTTGACACATCATCATCATCTTCTCAGCCATATGACGTCCACTGCTGATCATAGGCCTCCCCCAATGCTTTCCATGTTACCCGGTTGGTAGGCTTGCGTCCAGCGCTTTCCTGCTACCTTCATGATTTCGTCGACACATATTTCGTCGACAATAATAACAGTATTATATTGAGTTGAAATGTCGCGTGACGTCACTTTTTGTAAAAATTCTACTCAAGCGTGACGTAACGCACCATTTCAACTCGATGTAGCACTGTTAATATTCAATTATGAAAGAAAATAAAAAGTATGAGTCTAATATTTTCAAAGTTGTCTTGATTGTTATGGCAATAACATTACACGTGTCTGTCAGATATTACGTAGGTGTCAAAGGAGGATGGAGGCTTAAAGGAAAACCTTACGTGAAGGTAGTTAGCATGTCTCTTCCATGTTCATTTCATATTGTAGTTAGAATCTAATAAGTGTTAAATTCTGACGCTCGCTCTTGGAAGTGGCAATGGGTCATCCATATGTGCTTACTACTAAGGGCTTAGTGTGAGTTTATATCAAACGTCATCACTAGCGAGCGCGTTAAAAAATATAATGAACATTTTAGTTCTAGAAAGTTTCCGCTAGGGGCGCTGTCTAATCCGTCATACCTACATTTAATGTCACTTTTTTACTTAGTCGATGTCGGGTTAGTAGTAGTTTCGCACGATTTTCCTTCGCACAAATGTGCGAAACGTCCTCTTTCAATAATATTTTTTTTAGTAGGCGTTTCGCCCGGATGTATCAAAAGTATTAAAACGTGTGCGAATCGACCCCTTTGAGAACTAGTAATCGCATACTACTAGTTAAAAAAAGAGTCGATTCGCACGCGAATTTAATACTTTTAATACAACCGGGCGAAACGCCTACTAAAAAAAATATTATCGAAAGGCGACGTTTCGCACATTCGTGCGGAGGAAAATCGTGCGAAACTACTACTAACCCTCGATGTCAAATAGGTTTGACGTAAACTCACACTACACCCCCTGCTTACAATGCGATTACGTTAGGTGTAATCGTAAATAATGACATCAATGTACGACAGATTGTACAGCGCCCCTAGCGGCTATTTTCAAGATCTTCATTAAATTTTTTGACGCACTCTCTAGCGAGCCCAATTAACGTAATCTCATGGTAAGCACACTGTTGTAGATAGGAAAAGCGGGGGAGTAAATGGGTTCTTGACTAGAGAGAGACCTCACCTAAGCAAACGTAGTGCAGATGCACCCTTATTTAATGGACGACCACAAGTAAATAGCTGGCAGAACTTATTATGCTCCTTAGGGGAGATTCGCAGGACGCAGGCCGCTACCAAGCGGTCAATATGGAAGTGATTGGGGAAGACCTACGTTCAGCAGTGGACGTCCTATGGCTGAAATGATGCTGATGATGGGGAGATTCACGTCCAGCACTGTACTCTTGCAGGCTAAAAAGATAGCATGGTATTTCTTTCGTTCGTTGGTTTCAGCCAAATGATGTCCACAGATGGACAAAGGCCTCCCCTAAAGATTTCCATATCTGCGCTGCCAGCATCCAGGTACTTGATAAATGATGTTTACGACTGGTCATACTGCACCACTGTTGAGTCTGATTTATTTTTAAAAGTGTTTTTAAAATATAACTAGCTGACCCGGCGAACTTCGTACCGCCTTAGCGTAGAGATTTTCTTAATATTTTTTTCCGTAAGAACCATCCTT